TAAGACACCTCGCGACATGATTTATGATGGTCTTATGATTATCATGAAAGTTACGACATCTTTTCTACTGTTCTAATGTGATCAGTGTCATTTACTGCATTTATTTTTGCACATGCAGCCTCTCTTTTTGGTACTGTTTGTTGGTGTTGCTGAATCTGCTAAATGGTAAAGATTTATTCTACCCCTCTTCGTCATTTAAAATTTGAATATCATGTGACGTAAACTGAATTGGACTTCTTTTCTTTCTCATGATTATGCATAATGAATATATATATATTATTTTTTTCCTTATGTAGTCAGTTTATACTAAGTTTATCGACGTATTTGCACGGACATTTCGTTAAGCGGGCACGCAATGTGCCAAATCTTAAAAGTATCCACAATTAGATAACACTGCGTGAATTATGATAATAATACATGAACGCGAAGTTTTACTTGTGCTACCTCAAAACTGAAAAGAAGTCAGCACTGGCATATAAAGACTGTTATATATAATAATACAAAAACGTGAGAGCAAAAAACCAGAAACCTGTACTTCCTCCGAGGTACATGTTCCTCAGTTTTTACAGTGTATTTTTGTAAAGACAAAGAGGCCGGTTGAGTTATAATTTGAATATGTTGTAAAGATTTGCATTCAACATAGTTTGGGACATTCTAGAGTTTGGTTACCGTTTCTTTAAACCATTCTACCGGTGACAAGTGTTGTTTTAATCAAAGACCGGCTGAATTTTAGTCGCAGTTCAAATGTTAGTTATGAAATTAGTTTAATGTTTTCAGATAAACGCCGGAAAGAGTTTCTATGTTTTTCTTTAATAATCATTTGCGAGTCGAAATTAAGTTTTATTTCATCTACTGTCCAAAATTTCACAGTTGTAATTTCCGATGATCCTGTTTTAATCAAACGTTTGCCACCAAACAAAATTCCCATAATGAGCCTCAAATTCCTTAAGCGTCAGTAGAACCAGAAACCAGTCACGCTTTTTTTAATAACTCCCTCAGGTCTATTGTCTTTTTTTAATGTCGCTAGAATTTGTTGGTTCTTATACATCACGACAGTTATTAATATTTATAAAATTTCAATCATTTTTATGTTCGAAATTGTTGCTGGGTTCTTCATTCATTGTTGTAAGGGGAAACAGATATTGCAAGTCTCAGCATGAAGGGGTACCAGGTGATCCAAACGGTTACCATATTTGTAACAGGATATATACACGGGCACCTGTTAGACACAACATAGTCCGTTTGTCTTTTGTCTTCTCCTAATAAAATACTGATTGACACGTAAGAAAAACTTCGAAAAATATAGATAAATGATTTCGTCTATTGATAAAAGTATTTGATGATCTCTAACTTTAATCTTTTATAATTTGCTATAGTCATGTGATGCCAACAATATTTCTTACGCGGAATAATCGCCATATTGGATACGCTATAAATACCATAGTGTTTTCCGTGCCTAAAATAGCACAGAAGTTGAAGATTTTATTCGACAAGATCCTACTGGATAGTAAAAATAGCAACTTAGTTATTTTTATAAGGTAAATATCAGTATTTTAATTGTTTTAAACCAATTAGTCTCCAATATTTTCATCAAGGATACATCCACCCAAAATGGCAGTGAACGGGCCGCGTAAATTTGGCACAATTTCAATTTAGGTTGGTGTGTTGTCTACATAGACAAATTCCATTACCCGCCCATTCAGTAGTATGCTCTCAAAATATAATGGCGTCTTATTTGAAGATTTAGACTATTTTATTTAAGTAAAAACTACCAATTTCATAATTACAAAACCAGTTCTGTTCATGGTGATCGATTTTGAAATCGAAAGTGGGCGACACGATTACAAGGAGACATCGTAACGTCTTGTTTACCCAGATTTGATTATACCACGTGTTGTCTATTTATGAAAATTTATATTTAGCTAACTTTTATTTATGAAGATTTATTTAGAATATAATGAATCAAATGTAAGGCAGTGCATAGTTGCTTCATTGCAGTATTACAACATGATGACGGTGGTCACTAACCGGTAGAAGTACAACATCTTTGTGATCTAGCAATCCTGGTTTGTGGAAGTTTAAACTTGCAAAAGGACATATGCATGATCCCTTGTTTAAAACTGCAAGCATTGATCTTGCATAAAAATAGATCATGAATTTAAGATCTATAAAGCCAGAAGGAGAGAAAATATAAAAGTTTTGAGTGCAATTGGTGAAGTTAAAATTTATTTAATTTTTAAAATGTGAAAAAAAGGCCATGTAACACATTTTTTAGATAAAAAATACATTGCATGACTTCATCCCATTCAAAGAGGAAAAAAGTCCCATTTTTATTGTGACAGTTTTTTTTCATTCATACTGCAGAAGATTTTCCATATTAGATATTAATGATTTGTTTATTCATTTAACATTGGAACTACATGTACATGTATGATTTTGGGGAAATTTGTTATGTTGACTGGATGTTAATTGTCTATATATTATAAAGCAACTTAGTGTTCAGATCTGAAAAATATATTAATTACGTTTTCAAATATTTTTTCTTTCTTATTTGAGTTTATAAAATAATAACAGTTCATGTATCTTTTTACACACACATGCTGGCTGACAAAATTAAAACTAATGAACTTGTTTGAACAATACAAGACAGAACTTTGAAGAGCCAAATATTTAAAAAGGATCATTTCAGATTATTCTGCAAGTGAAATTCAAAAACAAAAAAATTTTCAAACTTTTAGAGCAGTTTCCCTTTATTTATTTGTTACTAAACCTTCAGTTTGTTCTGCTAATTAATATAAAACAAGCTACCAGTATATATACAATGTATTTAACATTGATTTTCAAATTGAGGTCAATACATGTACACAATTTATGAATTACCCAAATTCTCAATCAGTATAAATATGAAAATAAGAAAATGTGGTATGATTGCCAATGAGACAACTGTCCACCAGCTGCAGAGACCAATTAATGTAGATGTTACAGCAACTATTATTCACTGTACAACCTATTTAACTGTTACATTACATTGTATTTCCAGGACTCAGTCTTTTTAAGAATCATAAGGGGAAATGCTCAAATGTTAGCTGCACTATTTTATACATATATATAATAGTCATCTGTGGATTGCTAGCTACAATATTGCTTTGCCATTTAAATTTTACTGGTCTGGATACCTTACTGGTACCCTTTGATGGAGTTGTGCTGAATGCGCTCCTCATGTAAAGACAGGGTTGGCAAATACCTGATTTATATGAGTATTGGTCGAACCATTGGGTAATATTGGGGAAACATGCAGGGCAATATGAAATCCTAGAATAAATCCCTAAGAGGATTTAGTGATCAATTGCAAATGCAATACATAAAAGATGTACATTATATTCATGTATAAGAAGACTTATTTATTAATTAAGTTGTTTGACACTCTCATCATATATAGTGTATTCATTTGACAAAGGCTTTGTCCACCAACTCTTAATTATACATGAACAAATCTGAATTTTTCTCAATAAGATTAAACTTAAAAATGAAGTGATAGAATTCAATTAACTTTTTTTTTGTACATATAAATGTAATACAGCTAGTAAATGAGTAAAGCATCAGTTATTTGTACATGTAATACAGCTAGTAAATGAGTAAAGCATCAGGTATTTGTAAATGATTGATTGATGTTTGCTCAACACCGCCTGAGCACAAAGAGTCTATATCATGGCCAATCTGTAAATGAAAATGACAACTTTTTTTATTCATTGCTAAAAAGCATAAGTGTCCACACAATTTTAGAATATTTAACTTTGAATTTATTCAAACAAATCTTATTTATGGTTCCTAATCCTTAGAACTATAACCAAACTTGGTTATTTATGGTTCCTGATCCTAAGAAAATTAAAACTAAACTTGGTTATTTATGGTTCCTGATCCTTAGAACTATAACCAAACTTGGTTATTTATGGTTCCTGATCCTAAGAAAATTAAAACCAAACTTGGTTATTTATGGTTCCTGACCCTTAGAACTATAACCAAACTTGGTTATTTATGGTTCCTGATCCTTAGAACTATAACCAAACTTGGTTTTTTATGGTTCCTGAACCTAAGAAAATTAAAACCAAACTTGGTTTTTTATGTTTCCTAATCCTAAGAAAATTAAAACCAAACTTGGTTATTTATGGTTCCTGACCCTAAGAAAATTAAAACCAAACTTGGTTATTAATGGTTCCGGACCCTAAGAAAATTAAAACCAAACTTGGTTATTTATGGTTCCTGATCCTTAAAACTATAACCAAACTTGGTTATTTATGGTTCCTGACCCTTAGAACTATAACCAAACTTGGTTATTTATGGTTCCTGATCCTTAGAACTATAACCAAACTTGGTTATTTATGGTTCCTGATTCTTAAAACTATAACCAAACTTGGTTATTTATGGTTCCTGATCCTTAAAACTATAACCAAACTTGGTTATTTATGGTTCCTGACCCTTAGAACTATAACCAAACTTGGTACCTGATCTTTCAGCACAAAGCAAAAAGAATCCTTTAAATAAATATCACCAAGCTTTTTGTTTTCAAGATAATACTGAAAAATATTGTGTGAATACTATTCTTATCTTCTTTATATAGACCATCACATTTAGAAGTGGGTGGGACTAAAATGAAATCTATAGATAGAAAAGTTTGGATATTGGTGACACAAGAATTGTAACTTTTATGTCAATATACAGTTTATAACATATAGAAGTATTCTTCTAGTATTCAAATCAATGATATTAGCTAGATAAAAATCAATAAAGTAACTTCTTAGCTTCCTGATGTCACCCCTATAAATAGCTACAATGGAAATTCCCAGTTCACCAAAACTCACTGTGTCATGCCATGACATGTTTAGTAGATAGATATATTTCACATGATCTCAGGTATACACAGGTAAAATTAAAACAGGTAAATCTTTAAGTGTATTTTGGGTAAATTTAATATAGACTAAACATTGCAAGGTTTGTTATGTTATTAATGAAAAATAAATTTGTCAATAAGAACGTCTTAAGAATATACAATGGTAACGGATGTGTGGTTCATTTCTAAGTATGATTATAGATTTACAGTGACCAAGGATAGACAATGACCTTCTTTGGGGATTAATGTTGGGTATTTACATTTTTGTCCTTTCAGTTTGTAAGAGTTTTTACTACATTATTTTGTATTACAGCTTATGTATTTACATATGTACAGGTAAAGTGTGAGAACTATATGAGAATTTTTTTATAAGTCTCAGATTAAGTACATGTTTATGTAAATATTGTGACTAACGATATGCTTGTTCTATTAATACTTATATCAGGTTAAACCAAAGGAGAATATTTATAGTTAATTAAACAATAACTCAGAACATGGAGGGGTGTACATTGTACATTGTACATAATTGCCAACAGTACATTAAAAGTACTGCATATTTGTACATTTATTATAACATGTATACTGCATATATCCCAAAATACATCCATGTATGTCGAATTATGAAGTGATATTTCTGTTTCGTCATTAGTAGTTTAATGTGTGCAAAGTAAAAGGAAAAAAAAACAGCTATTGATTGAATGAAGGAAGTAATTTGTCAGGGGATTTTCAGTTTAAACCATTATAGGCTAGCTTTTAACGATTGAATTTAAAAAAAATTTTTTTTAATAATAATGAATTTGTTGCAGGTGGTAACTTAAACATAAAACAAACAAAATGGGAAGAAAGAAGATTAGTATCACCCGAATCAACGATGAAAGAAACAGACAGGTAAGAAAAACATGGAGGGGAAGATGACACTTAAAACTTAAATTCATGAAGTAAGATCTAATTCAATCATATAATGTATGCTTAAACCCTCCCTGTAGTAATTTCATCTAGCAACACACAAGAGTTACATATAAAAGGTAAAAAGTCGAACTAATGTACATGTGGTCAATACCATTAAAGGTCAGATGTGCCTAATTAGGAAGCTGCAAAAGGTTTATAAAATTAAAAACATATATGATCTTGACAAGTGGAAAAGCACATCGCCCACTGAAATGAGGAAAAATATTGAAAATTAAAAAAAACATTTCATTTAAATTGTGATCACTTCTTGATTTTTGTCGAGCCTGCGACTTATGTCGCAGAAAGCTCGACATAGGGATAGCGATCCGGCGGCGGCGGCTACGGCGGCGGCGGCGGCGTTAGCTAACTTCTTAAAAGCTTTATATTTTAGAAGATGGAAGACCTGGATGCTTCATACTTTGTATATGGATGCCTCATGTTACGAAGTTTCCGTCAGTCACATGTCCAATGTCCTTGACCTCATTTTCATGGTTCAGTGACTACTTGAAAAAAAAGTTCAGATTTTTTGTAATGTTAAATTCTCTCTTATTATAAGTAATAGGATAACTATATTTGGTATGTGCGTACCTTGCGAGGTCCTCATGCCCGTCAGACAGTTTTCACTTGACCTCGACCTCATTTCATGGATCAGTGAACAAGGTTAAGTTTTCGTGGTCAAGTCCATATCTCAGATACTATAAGCAATAGGTCTAGTATATTCGGTGTATGGAAGGACTGTAAAGTGTACATGCCCAACTGGCAGGTGTCATCTGACCTTGACCTCATTTTCATGGTTCAGTGGTTATAGTTAAGTTTTTGTGTTTTGGTCTGTTTTTCTTATACTGTATGCAATAGGTCTACTATATTTGGTGTATGGAATGATTGTAAGGTGTACATGTCTAGCTGGCAGGTGTCATCTGACCTTGACCTCATTTTCATGGTTCAGTGGTCAAAGTTAAGTTTTTGAGTTTTGGTCTTTTTTTCTAATACTGCATGCAATAGGTCAGCTATATTTGGTGTATGGAATGATTGTAAGATGTACATGTCTAGCTGGCAGGTGTCATCTTACCTTGACCTCATTTTCATGGTTCAGTGGTCAAAGTTAAGTTTTTGAGTTTTGGTCTTTTTTTCTAATACAATATGCAATAGTTCAACTATATTTGGTGTATGGAAATATTTTATGATCTTTATGTCAGTCACGCAGGTTTTATTTGACCTTGACCTCATTTTCAAGGTTCATTGCTCAGTGTTAAGTTTTTGTGTTTTCGTCTGTTTTTCTTAAACTATAAGCAATAGGTCAACTATATTTGTTGTATGGAAGAATTGTTAGCTGTACATGCCTGCCTAGCATGGTTCATCTGACCTTGACCTCATTTTCATGGTTCATTGGTCAATGTTTAGTTTACTTGGTTAATGTTAAGTTTATGTGACAGTTGTAATAAAGCTTTATATTTAGGACTATCAACATAATATCAATGATTAGTAAAGAAGGCGAGACATTTCAGCGTGTGCACTCTTGTGTACTAATGTGTGGTTTCTTTATTGTTTTTATCTTGATGATGGTTTAGACACTGTAACATGTCAATCTCATTTAATTACTGCAGCAATCCCTTAAGGGCTTTTTGTTGGTATAAGTAATAGAAAGAAGGATACAGTGTATGTATATAAAATTGAGAATGGAAATGGGGAATATGTCAAAGAGACAACAACCCGACCAAAGAGCAGACAACAGCCGAAGGCCACCAATGGGTCTTCTTACATGTACATGTATAAATAGAACTTGACGTGTGTATATATATGTACGGTAAAACAGTTTATTAAAATGTTTGTAATTGCATGTGACTTTTCTTAACTAAAATAAAAGTTATACATATTTAAGTAACATATAGCAATTGTATCTGTGTATATTTTTTATGTACATGTGTAATAAACAAAGAATAGTTTGGTTTGATAAAGTAAGCTTATCAGATAAGTGAGTTTTTTGTCAGGTGACATTTACAAAGAAAAGGATAGTTCAAAGAAAATTGTGTACTTGATTGGTAGTGTGTCTTTTTCAGGTTACATTTACCAAGAGAAAGTTTGGATTGATGAAGAAAGCATATGAATTAAGTGTCCTGTGTGACTGTGAGATAGCTCTGATTATTTTCACCAGCAATAACAAGCTGTACCAGTATGCTAGTTCTGACATGGACAGAGTATTACTGAAATACACTGAGTATAATGATACAGTTGTCAGCCAAACAAACAAGGATATTGTAGAGGTAAAGGGTCAATACTTAGGTCAGACTTCAACAGACCACACCTGACTCCTAAGAAAAAAATAGATGTTCAAATGACCATATGTACTTAAAGTAAAACACATAATAAAAAAGAAGTATATCTTATCAGTTCATACGCAAATATCTTGTATCTAGATTATGCCAAGGTAATGTCACTTTGTATGTGATATATATTTACATTATGCTAAGGTTAAGTTACTGTATCAAGGTACTTCACATTTTTTGTCTGGTCTTGATAAATTTTCAAATACAGTTTGTCAGAAATTTAGAATTTCTTTTAAGTAACTTTTATGTAATATCTAGACTCGAAGTATACAACAGTTTATATATGATATCATGTTTGTCTCGTGCAGGAGGTCATGGTTTGGATCTCCAGCTGGGTCAAACCAGAGACTTTCCTGTCAGCTAAGAAAGTTGTATTTTAAGTAAGAGCAAAGACTGTTTGGCTCAGATTCAGATGTTCCCATACATTGACATATCTTCTAACTGACCATATACTAGCACATTTAAAATTCAACTGAGCCTGTCTGTCTAGTTCAAAGTGGGGTTCATATTTGTGTTTCATTAGCATGTACATGTTCTCGTCCTGAAATGAATGTTTTATTTACCAGCGGAGGTTAATCACCAATCCATAGTAATATAAGATTTCTTTCTTACATAAACATATAATATGCATTAGTTTTCACAGTTGTTATTTTATATAGATTGAACATTTAATGTGTTTGATTTTGATTAGATGCTGAACAAAAAAGACATCTCTGGTGATGGAAATGGAGATGATGATGACAACTATGTACTTACACCAAGGACTGAGGAAAAATACAAAAAAATAGATGACGACTTCAAAAAAGCCATGGAGCAGGGAGTGGTGAGTAACAGTTCAGATTTGTCTTATCATCCAGTCACTTATTTACAAGTAACATTTCGGTAACAGATAATCTTAAGTGATAGAGAGGGTTTCACAACTTATCATCCAGTCACTTATTTACAAGTAACATTTCGGTAACAGATAATCTTAAGTGATAGAGAGGGTTTCACAACCAATATATTATTTACATGTACTTTTTTAGGACCACATAATATGTATCAGTAATTGACATGTATCTTAGAAGGACCACATAATACTGATATTTTTATCCAGTCACTAATTTACATGTTATATTTATTAATCAGTAAATATTGACCATTTTACAACCAGTTTCTAATTTACATGTATTATTGGCCATGGTGTACCACATTTTGGTCTCACCTTGACAGAGTCAAAATGCGAGACATAGGTATGCTGTTTCTGGCGGCGGCATCAACAATGTATTAGTTTGTGATTAGGTCTAGTTTATGGTGAACCACTAGTGGTAGGTCAATGATATTTGGTATGCAGTTGTATAAGCATTGGCATATCTCATTTCCATGGAGATTATTTGGCTCAGCCCCCTCAGTCATGGTCTATTGACTTTGAAACTTTTGCTTAGTTTTCATGTATTAGTTTGTGATTAGGTCTAGTTTATGGTGAACCACTAGTAGTAGGTCAATGATGTTTGGTGTGCAGTTGTATAAGCATTGGCATATCTCATTTCCATGGAGATTATTTGGCTCAGCCCCCTCAGTCATGGTCTATTGACTTTGAAACTTTTGCTTAGTTTACATGTATTAGTTTGTGATTAGGTCAGTTTATGGGGAACCACTAGTAGTAGGTCAATGATGTTTGGTATGCAGTTGTATAAGCATCGGCATATCTCATTTCCATGGAGATTATTTGGCTCAGCCCCCTCAGTCATGGTCTATTGACTTTGAAACTTTTGCTTAGTTTACATGTATTAGTTTGTGATTAGGTCAGTTTATGGGGAACCACTAGTAGTAGGTCAATGATGTTTGGTATGCAGTTGTATAAGCATTGGCATATCTCATTTCCATGGAGATTATTTGGCTCAGCCCCCTCAGTCATGGTCTATTGACTTTGAAACTTTTGCTTAGTTTACATGTATTAGTTTGTGATTAGGTCAGTTTATGGGGAACCACTAGTAGTAGGTCAATGATGTTTGGTATGCAGTTGTATAAGCATTGGCATATCTCATTTCCATGGAGATTATTTGGCTCAGCCCCCTCAGTCATGGTCTATTGACTTTGAAACTTTTGCTTAGTTTACATGTATTAGTTTGTGATTACATTTGTAGGTCACTTTATGGGGAACCACTAGTAGTAGGTCAATGATGTTTGGTATGCAGTTGTATAAGCATTGGCATATCTCATTTCCATGGAGATTATTTGGCTCAGCCCCCTCAGTCATGGTCTATTGACTTTGAAACTTTTGCTTAGTTTTCATGTATTAGTTTGTGATTAGGTCTAGTTTATGGTGAACCACTAGTAGTAGGTCAATGATGTTTGGTGTGCAGTTGTATAAGCATTGGCATATCTCATTTCCATGGAGATTATTTGGCTCAGCCCCCTCAGTCATGGTCTATTGACTTTGAAACTTTTGCTTAGTTTACATGTATTAGTTTGTGATTAGGTCAGTTTATGGGGAACCACTAGTAGTAGGTCAATGATGTTTGGTATGCAGTTGTATAAGCATTGGCATATCTCATTTCCATGGAGATTATTTGGCTCAGCCCCCTCAGTCATGGTCTATTGACTTTGAAACTTTTGCTTAGTTTACATGTATTAGTTTGTGATTAGGTCAGTTTATGGGGAACCACTAGTAGTAGGTCAATGATGTTTGGTATGCAGTTGTATAAGCATTGGCATATCTCATTTCCATGGAGATTATTTGGCTCAGCCCCCTCAGTCATGGTCTATTGACTTTGAAACTTTTGCTTAGTTTACATGTATTAGTTTGTGATTAGGTCAGTTTATGGGGAACCACTAGTAGTAGGTCAATGATGTTTGGTATGCAGTTGTATAAGCATTGGCATATCTCATTTCCATGGAGATTATTTGGCTCAGCCCCCTCAGTCATGGTCTATTGACTTTGAAACTTTTGCTTAGTTTACATGTATTAGTTTGTGATTACATTTGTAGGTCACTTTATGGGGAACCACTAGTAGTAGGTCAATGATGTTTGGTATGCAGTTGTATAAGCATTGGCATATCTCATTTCCATGGAGATTATTTGGCTCAGCCCCCTCAGTCATGGTCTATTGACTTTGAAACTTTTGCTTAGTTTACATGTATTAGTTTGTGATTAGGTCAGTTTATGGGGAACCACTAGTGGTAGGTCAATGATGTTTGGTATGCAGTTGAATAAGCATTGGCATATCTCATTTCCATGGAGATTATTTGGCTCTGCTCCCTCAGTCATGGTCTATTGACTTTGAAACTTTTGCTCAGTTTAAATGTATTAGTTTGTGATTAGGTCAGTTTATGGGGAACCACTAGTGGTAGGTCAATGATGTTTGGTATGCAGTTGTATAAGCATTGGCATATCTCATTTCCATGGAGATTATTTGGCTCTGCCCCCTCAGTCATGGTCTATTGACTTTGAAACTTTTGCTCAGTTTACATGTATTAGTTTGTGATTAGGTCAGTTTAAGATGAACCACTAATGTTAAGTTAATGTTTGTGTTTAGTTTTGTTTAAAGGAAAGACTTATGATGATTTAGTGGTATTTGGTATGCAGTTGTATTGGCTTTTGCACATCTCATTTCCGTGGAGATTGTTTAGCCATATATATACCTTCAGTCATGGTTCTTTGACTTTGAATATTTGCATAACTTAAGCTTACATGTTAAAAGTATCGCTATTTTAATTTCAACATTTGCATTATCAAAATTACAAAAAGGCGAGACATATCTTTGTGTTAACAGTTTATTTAGCCTATCACTTGTCTACATTTCATGTAATGAAATTTTTTTAAAGCCTTGCAATTACAGATGTTTTCATTCCGAAAAATAAAAGTTGAATTCTCTTTTACAAAAACATAAAACATCTCCAGTTACGCATGGTTTATATTAAACATTTATAAGCAGTGAAGGTAATTTAATATTCAGTACATGTATGTGATGTAAATAGTCGCACCTTAAATTCATTTGATGCTTCCAGATTATACAATATATAGCTATCATGGATCTATTTTGGTCTAATTTCTTGTAAACTTGTTGCTATTTCTGAATTTTCATTGATTTTATAAGGATTAAATATTTGTAGCTATATATAGATAATTAAAAGCCATCAGATGAAATTACAGTGATTATTGGAATCTATTTCGTTAAGGAATATTTATAGTTCACTCAAGTTATACTAAAATGTATACTGGTACATAAATCTTTAATTTATTATATTGCATCCAGTAATTAAGATACCTTTTTTTTTGCATGCTGTCCAGAAAATTTCAAAATGGAATAGATTTGGTCAGATCCCAACAATACTTGAAGGAAAATTATATATAATTAAATTTTTATACGACCGCAAAACATTTTGTGGTCGTATATTGGTATCACTTCGTCGGCGGCGGCATTGTCAGCATCATCCGAAGACATTTGGTTTCCGGGACAATAACTTTAGTAAATGTAAATAGAAATCTGTGAAATTTAAACACAAGGTTTATAACCACAAAAGGAAGGTTGGGATTGATTTTGGGTGTTGTAGTCCTAACAGTTTAGGAATTAGGGGCCTAAAAGGGGCCCAAATAAGCATTTTTCTATTTTCCAGACAATAACTTGTGGAACGGTGTATGGATCTCTCTGAAATTATACCACAAGTTTTAATACCACAAAGGGATGGTTAGGATTGTCATTGGGGGGTTATGGCTCAAACCATTTAGGAATTAGGGGGCAAAAAAAGGGGGAAAACAAGGGTTTCCTGGTTTATGGACAATTAAAAAAAAGTACAATGTTATGTTTGGATTACCTCTCTTACACTGCTTTTAAATTATGTATAAAGAAATGTTGTATTGTCTTGAGGTGATTAGCTGTCAATTTATTTTTAGAAGTAACCAATTAAAAATGCTGATTAAGGAATATTTAATATATTAATTTTAGCCATGATTATGTATGTCATTTTCTATTTTAAGACTTTTATGATGTATTTAAATGGGTAATTATGGTTGGAAACTCCATTGGAAATTTGAATTGAGATTATGACCATATCTTGAGGGAAAGAATTTATTTTTGGAAAAAGGGTTGGGGGGGGGGGGGGGGGGGGGGGGTGCAATTTTTTCTCATTTCAGATTTCAGAAATTAAAAAGAAAATTTCAAATATTTTTTTTTTTGCAAAATAAAGGGGGGGGGGTTTTAATACGCAACAGCATGTTGTATTGCACAAAAGCAAAAAATTGAATATAAATTCAAATCATATAACCAATTCTAAGTTCTTTGACTACAGTTATTCTATGTCAGAAACCTATTATGTGTCAAATATTTAATTACAATCCAAATTCAGACCTGTATCAAGCGCATATTGTGTCCATTTTTGCCCCAACTGTTCAGGGTTGGACCTCTGCGGTCGTATCCAGCTGCGCTCAGCAAAGCATTTTATTTTGTTTTATTTGCTTCAGAATCAAGGACAGTATCAACAGATGAATGTTACAGTTCCTGTTGGTCAACCTGTACAGAATGCAGCCTTCTCCTTACAACAACAGGCTGCTCTACAACAGTTACAAAATTTACAGCAACAGGCCCAACAACAAGCTAGCCAAGCATCAACTTCTTCTGTTGTCATGTTACAACCTAATACTACACATACTGTGTCACCTTCATCCAGTACCCAGTCAGGTAAACAAAATCCAAAGACCTTGTTATCTATGTACCATGATTGAAAAGACCCAAACCTAAATGTCCTAAAAGTAAAAGAATAAAGACAGATCTTGAGTTGGTCTATCAGTACGGAGAAAAAGAATTAGATTTGAGTAATCTTTCTTGAAATGAAATTCTCATAATTAAAGTTGCTCCTACCATTGTTGCAAATTGCGGTAATAGTAAATACGATAACTTTATTAAAATCGAAATGCTGACTGACTGATTCTATTTTACAAATTAATTAATTTTGAGGATCGTTATGACCCATCGGATAAGCAGATTACCTGTAACAACAAATTATGACACCTGATGTGTCCATTGATTAGCTTGGGGTCGTAAAATTGTCATAGATATGTTGCCAGGATTAAATTATTGATTTTCGTACACATATTTGTTTATTTTAACAAATTTTAGTGACGAAATTGGTCAGAAAAACTTTTGTCATTTTGAAAATCTATTTGTAAACAACAAAAATGATGAGCGCCGGAAAAATCACTGAATATACTGTTTCTCTAACATGCAGTACTCTGGCATGTAAGGTATAGCTAAATACCTCATATAGTGTGTTGCTGTTACTCTGTATATTTGGTACTATGGTGCTACAGGAATTTGTTTTTATAATAGAATACAGAAACTGCTTTTTATACGACCGCAAAAAAATTTTGTGGTCGTATATTGGTATGACGTTGGCGTCGTCGTCGTTGTCCGAAAACACATTGGTTTTCGCACTCTAACTTTAGTTTAAGTGAATGGATCTCTATGAAATTTTACCATAAGGTTCAATACCACAAAAGGAAGGTTGGGATTGATTTTAGGGGTTATGGTACCAACAGTTAAGGAATTAGGGGCCAAAAAGGGGACAAAAAAAGCATTTTTGTAACTTCCAGACATAACTTGTGTGTTAGTGTATGGATCTCTCTGACATTGTACCACAAGGTTCCATATCACAAAGGGAATGCTGGGATTGATTTTGGGGGTAATTGCCTCCAAATTTTAGGAATTAGGGGCAAAAAAAGGGGCAAAAAACAAGCATTTATCTAGTTTCATGACAATAACTTGTGTGTAAGTGTATGGATCTTAATGAAATTGTACTACAGGGTTCCATATCACAAAGGGAAAGCTGGGATTGAGTTTGGGGGTAATTGCCCAAAACGTTTAGGAATAAGGGCCAAAAAGGGGCCAAAAATAAGCATTTTTCTAGTTTCCAGACAATAACTTGTGTTCAAGTGTATGGATCTCTCTGAAATTGTACTGCAAGATACCATACCACAAAGGGAAGGCTGGGATTGATTTTGGGGGTAATTGCCTCAAAATTTTAGGAATTAGGGGCAAAAAAGGGGGAAAAACAAGCATTTTTCTAGTTTCAGGACAATAACTTGTGTGTTAGTGTATGGATCTTTATGAAATTGTACTACAAGGTTCCATATTACAAAGGGAAAGCTGGGTTTGAGTTTGGGGGTAATTGCCCTAAACATGTAGGAATTTGGGGCCAAAAATCAAGCATTTTTCTAGTTTCCAGACAATAACTTGAGTTCAAGTGTATGGATCTCTCTGAAATTGTACTGCAAGGTACCATACCACAAAGGGAAGGCTGGGATTGAGTTTGGGGGTGATAAATCATAAGGGGGTTCAAAAAATTTGGGGGGGGGGCGATTTTTTTTTTCTTTAAAATTTTCCATTTTATATTGGTTATTTCTGATTTATATATAAAAGCAAATAATAATGATATTGTTTGAATAGGTAAATTAAATTTTTTTAAGTTCTTAGACCACATTCATTCTGTGTCAGAAACCTATGCTGTGTCAAATATTTTTAAATTACAATCCAAATTCAGTGCTGTATCAAGCTTGAATGTTGTGTCCATACTTGCCCCAACTGTTCAGGGTTCGACCTCTGAGGTCGTATCAAGCTGCGCCCAGCGGTGCATTTTATTTTTAGTGCCATGGTGATATTTGAAAAAACAGGGGACAACACAGTTTGAATATGCTGTAATTGATATTTCAGTTTTCTGCTCAAATATGATAAAGTTTTATTATTGATTTCAGTAAAGGTTGTGCATACAGACCAAAGTACATCAGAGACTCCCAGTAGGGGATTTGTCCTGCCTTCAGGACTTAGTCTCAGCAAAGAAATGATTCAGATGTTAACAAACCCACAACCACAGACACAAGCTGAAAAAGAAAAACCAAGACTTAGAGTTGTTATACCAAGTAAAGATCCCAATAAAGATTCCTCATCAGGACAGGTAAGAACAAGATACACTCACATTGTCATCAGGACAGATAAGAACAAGACAGACTCACATTGTCATTAGACGATAAGAACAAGACAGACTCACATTGTCATCAGGACAGGTAAGAACAAGACAGACTCACATCATCATCAGGACAGGTAGGAACAAGACAGACTCACATTGTCATTAGACAGGTAAGAACAAGACAGACTCACATCGTCATCAGGACAGATAAGAACAAGACAGACTTACATTGTCATCAGACAGGTAAGAACAAGACAAGACTCACATCGTCATCAGGACAGGTAAGAACAAGACAGACTCGCATCATCATCAGGACAGGTGAGAACAAGACAGACTCACATCGTCAGCAGGACAGATAAGAACAAGACAGACTCACATTGTCATCAGACAGGTAAGAACAAGACAGACTCACATTGTCATCAGACAGGTGAGAACAAGACAGACTCACATTGTCATCAGACAGGTGAGAACAAGACAGACTCACATCATCATCAGGACAGGTAAGAACAGGACAGACTCGCATCATCATCAGGACAGGTAAGAACAAGACAGACTCACATTGTAATCAGGACAGGTAAGAACAAGAGCGAATCACAAACAGCAACAGAAGAAAAATTGAGATTGATTATATTTTATTTAAGCCTACATATGGTAAAGGTCTGTCATTGGCACTGGTTAAAACAAGAAAGAAACATAAACTCTAACTGAAAAACAGCAACTAACGTTCAAGTGTAGTTGTACCTAAAAAGATCAAAGAGCCATTGTCACCACAGTGTAAAAGTCATTCAAAATAAATTGTATTATCAATACTTCTAACAGAATTTTTTGTTAAACTTTGAAGGAGTAAGGTAACAAAATTAGTACAACCAATGTCTTCATTTTGAAATTGGCATAGATACAAAGTCGCTGTTGTCCTTATTCAATTCAATTATAAACTGTATTTGTATTCAGTAGTTTCAAAAATGTTCAAACATGAAATTCATCAAAATGTTGGCCATTAAAATTTTGGTTTTGTTCAAAAGGAAATAACTCGAAATGGTCTTATTAAGAGAGGAATCTCAGAACTGATCTTAAATTACAGCAGGTAGTCGCGAACACAGATGCCACACCCTCCCAATACCTCCTGTAAGAAAAACACTAGATCAAAATTAATGGTCTTCAATCAAAATCAATGTCAGAAAAAAAAATTCTTTAAACAAGCACATGACAATAGTTGTAATAATACGTTATTGAATGATTGGGGTTATTGAAAAACAGACTTATGACAAAATAGAAAATTATACTATAAGTAAAATGTCATTACTTAAAACAAAAACAGGGCAATATGACGAACCATTATGAAAGCTTACGGTAACTTTAAACAAAAACTGGGCAATATAAAGAAATATTAAATTAAATAAACCTTATCAATGACAGCTTGCAGTTACTTAAAACAAAAACAGCTTATAGTATCAGATACCAGCCACACAAAAGTTGTATGATAGACTTACTTTCTTGCACTCAAATATTAGTTAGTGTACTTCTCAAATGATTTTATCTGATGTTTACATCTCTTACAGGGTTCAAGTAAATCAGGATCATTAGACACACCATTAGTTTCACAGGCCACGCCAAGTCAACAGATCAATACATCACTTCCTTCAGCATTACCTTCTGGCCTACTACCTAGTAAGTAATGAAAATTGTACTAATACAGGAGGGGGGGTGGTTAGAGTTCAAGCAAATCAAAAACAAATTCCCGGATGATCATCATTTTTATTGGGCATGCTACTAAGTAGATCCCAACTGTTAATGCTGTCTCTGTGACTCATATTAATGAGGTCTGGCCTTTCAGTCATTAAACTTTACTCAATAATGTAGGTTTACTGTATTTATTGATGAAGGGTTAACCTAGTTTTTATACGACCGCAAAAAATTTTTGTGGTCGTATATTGGTATGACGTTGGCGTCGTCCGGCGTCGTCCGAAGACACATTGGTTTTCGCACTCTAACTTTAGTTTAAGTGAATGGATCTCTATGAAATTTTACCACAAGGTTCAATACCACAAAAGGAAGGTTGGGATTGATTTTGGGGGTTATGGGACCAACAGTAAAGGAATTAGGGGCCAAAAATAAGCATTTTTGTAATTTCCAGACATAACTTGTGTGTTAGTGTATGGATCTCTCTGACATTGTAGCACAAGGTTCCATATCACAAAAGGAATGCTGGGATTGATTTTGGGGGTAATTGCCTCAAAATTTTAGGAATTAGGGGCCAAAAAAGGGGCAAAAAACAAGCATTTTTCTAGTTTCATAACAATAACTTGTGTGTAAGTGTATGGATCTTTCTGAAATTGTACTACAAGGTTCCATATCACAAAAGGAAAGCTGGAATTGAGTTTGGGGGTAATTGCCGAAACGTTTAGGAATTGGGGGCCAAAAAGGGGCCAAAAATAAGCATTTTTCTAGTTTCCAGACAATAACTTGTGTTCAAGTGTATGGATCTCTCTGAAATTGTACTGCAAGGTACCATACCACAAAAGGAAGGCTTGGATTGATGATGGGGGTAATTGCCTTAATATTTTAGGAATTAGGGGCCAAAAAGGGGCAAAAAACACATTTTCTAGTTTCCAGACAATAACTTGTGTTCAAGTGTATGGATCTCTCTGAAATTGTACTGCAAGGTACCATACCACAAAGGGAAGGTTGGGATTGAGTTTGGGGGTGATGAATCATAAGGAGGTTCAAAAAATTTGGGGGGGGGATTTTTTTTTTTTCCTTTTTTTTTTCTTTTAAAATTTTCCATTTTAAGTTGGTTATTTCTGATTTATATTTAAAAGCAAATAATAATGATATGGTAGGAGATACACACCAAACAGGATGTGTAAATTATTATATAATAAGTATTGTGCAATAGCAAGAAATTTTCAATTGCACAGTATTGCACAATAGCAAGAAATCTTCAATTGCACAGTATTGCGCAATAGCAAGAAATCTTCAATTGCACAGTATTGCACAATAGCAAGAAATATCCAATAGCACAATATTGTGCAATAGCAAGAAATTGTCAATAGTACAGTATTGCGCAATAGCAAGAAATATTTAATTGCACAGTATTGTGCAAAAGAAGATACTTCGTATAAATTGCTTATTTCTTGACCAATTTCAATGGGGTTTTATTCTTGAATTCTTGGGGTTCTTTAATATGCTGAATCTAACCGTGTATTTAGTTTTTGGATTTTGGGCCCCTTTTTAAATTGGTCCACATTGAGGTCCAAAGGGTCCAAAATTAAACTTTGTTTGATTTCATCAAAAATTGAATTATTGGGGTTCTTTGATATGCCGAATCTAACCGTGTATTTAGATTCTTAATTTTTGGTTCCGTTTTCAAATTGGTCTACATTAAGGTCCAAAGGGTCCAAAATTAAACTTAGTTTGATTTTAACAAAAATTGAATTCTTAGGGTTCTTTGATATGCTGAATCTAAACATGTATTTAGATTTTTGATTATGGGCCCAGTTTTCAAGTTGGTCCAAATCGGGGTCCAAAATTAAACTTTGTTTGATTTCAACAAAAATTGAATATATGGGGTTCTTTGATATGCTGAATCTAACCATGTATTTAGATTTTTGATTTTTGGGCCCCGTTATCAACTTTGTCCACATTGAGGTCAAAAGGGTCCAAAATTAAACTTTGTTTGATTTCATCAAAAATTGAATTCTTGGGGTTCTTTGATATGCTGAATCTAACCATGTATTTAGATTTTGGATATTGGACCATAATAGGTGAATGTCCAATTTAAAATTTTTAAGTTCTTAGACCACATTCATTCTGAGTCAGAAACCTATGCTGTGTCAAATATTTAATCACAATCTTAATGCAAAGCTGTATCAAGCTTGAATGTTGTGTCCATACTTGCCCCAACTGTTCAGGGTTCGACCTCTGCGGTCGTATCAAGCTGCGCCCTGCGGAGCATTTTATTATTTTTTTGGGTAGTATTAGAGGAGTGATAAAGCTTAAGGGCTTTATACTTAAAATTTGCGTCATTTCAATGCTTTTTGACTGTATTTACAACCCTGTAAATCTAAGAAAAGATGTATCAAAATTTTAGTTAATTTAAATGTTTGTGCTAAAACTAGGAAATTATGAGTTTAATAAAAAAAAAATCCTATGATTTGATTTAATTTTTACTATGTTGTTATGGAGAGCATGTGCAATCAATGATGTTGCATTGTGTTGGGAGAAGAGAAATTTATTGTGTTTGGTAAGTAAAGAGGAGGTACACAACACATAATAGAGATTTAACATTAGTGTAAAGAGGAGGTACATAACACCTCATTGAGATTAAACATTAGTGTAAAGAGGAGGTACATAACACCTCATTGAGATTAAACATTAGTGTAAAGAGGAGGTATATAACACCTCATTGAGATTTAACATTAGTGTAAAGAGGAGGTACATTAACACCTCATTGAGATTAAACATTAGTGTAAAGAGGAGGTAAATAACACCTCATTGAGATTAAACATTAGTTAATGATTACAGGTGATTTAAGGATAGATAGCACTGATTTGGCCAACTTATTGGCCCCTTGGAATCAAAACCCTGGACCACTGACAGCAGCCATACAGTCCTCTGGCCTTACATTGACACCAAGGTAAGTTAAGGTCCTTGGACCTCCTAATCAATAGTCACATCATTAGAGGCTTTTACCTTGATCTGCTTATAAAACAGCAGACCAAACAGTTTAACAAAACATATGAAATATGAACATGAATAGCAGTCTGCGACGTTAAGCGGTAGCCCAAAGCCCCTGTCTAGTAAAAATCTCATCGGACTTGTGCAGAAGCACTGGTAATTGCCCGATCGGACTAGTGAACATCTGAAATCGTTTGCGAAATTGTACCCAGTATTTTATTGAATCTATGAGAACAAGTTACAAATTTGTCGCTGACCTTGTTTTCATCCGTTACTGGTATCCCTATTTTATCATGTACATGTTTTCCCTTCTAATCAAAGGGAACCAGTCGTCAACTAATTACCAACGAAATCGAGAACGAGGCTCGACCATGTGCTTGCAATAAACACAATCTATAAATACCACTCAATGTAAACAAACAATCAAGGATTTGATCTCATTTGATGCTGAAATGGAAACAGGGGGCTATCTAAGGTAAAACATTGAGAAGTTGAAAATGCCTACACGAATAACTGGAGAAGTTTCGAGATGAAAAAAAGCTAGTATGCAGAAAAACAATTTAGACATTTTTAAACAAAATTAACGAAAGTGACAATAAAGGAGGGTGGTGATGGGGGTTTAAAGAAAGAGAATAATGGGCAAAAAACATAAAGAATATTTTATTTAGAGAAAAATGAACCAAAAAATAAAAGAATAAAGAAAAATGAGGTGTTTAAATATAAAGAATGGAGAAAAATGGCATAAATAATTAAAGAATACAGAAATGAATGCCCCACCCCCTAGCCTCCTGATCCCAAAGAAGTGCCAGAGAATATTATTTTCTTATGCTAAAAATGTGGATTTTTTTTGCTGAGTCTTTTTACTTGAAATGGTACAAGTTTATAGAAAAAAGATTTTTTTTGGCAAAAGAACTATATTAATTTTTTATTGGAGAAAATGAGAATTTTTCAATTGACCTGGAGAAAAAAAAAACTTTTTTTGATAAGTTATGTTTACTTCCAGATACAAAAATGTACCCTCAGAATGCAGGATTTAACATCTAATTTTCAAAAAAAAAAAATTGGGGGGCATGCCCCATACCCTCCTAGCAGGTTCAGATTACTTCCTGATCCTCACCAGTGACACAAATTGTGTTTTTAATCTATTCAACTAGCACTATGGGCCAGTGCTTCAAAAAGTTTTTGGCACAGACTGGAAGAGAAAGAAAAAGATATTTGTAATCAAATGTTTTATACTGTTATCTTGCAATTTGCAAAATAAAATATTATAATCAATAATAATCTTGGGAATGGAAACTCGAAGCTTGCTGTCTCAAACTAATATAAAAGGGTTAATTTAACAAAAAACAAAAATCCATTTATTATCTACAGTACTTAAGTAACTTTGAAAATGAAAATAACGGGAATATTTTTGCAGCTTTTAGAGAAAAATTGCGTTCAGACAAAATACTTCATGAGTTTCCAACTTGTTTATCAAATGTTTTAAATGTATATTAAAGTGGATAAACGTTTTAAATGTATATTAAAGTGAAGTTATTGTGATTGATATTTTCTAGTGGACTGACTCCTACCACACTGAGTCTACAGAATTTGTTAATTCCTGCCAACCAGGCAGCTGCTTTACGATTGTTAGAACAACAGAAAAACGTTAAAACAGAACCCTCATCACCACTGAAACGATCGTCTGCCGAAGATAGTGAGGACGACAGGGAAGATGAAGGAGACCCACCAGAGAAAAAATCAAGATCAACATCAAATCGGTGATGAGGGCTAGATTTTAACCATGTACATATGTAAAAAGTTGTAGCAATAAGTGAGATTCTTACATCATGTTTATAAATAGAACTGTATGGAATGTATGATAACTTTAATAGTGCTATGAGGTATGAACAAAGAATGAGAGATTTCATATGAAATAAAATTAGTTTTTCCTCATAAAATGATCTGATCATTGAACCATATAATGGTTTTGTTTATGAAACATATCATCCGTTAATTTGATCACCAATTGACATTGATCACTTTATATGCATCTCATATTTCATATTATTGTATTGTGAATGTCAAAACTAAATAGAATACCTATGTTTAACTGATGAAAACAAAGCTTTTTAATTCAACACTATTAACTGATGTGTAATGGATAATTCAAATTTGATTCTGTTGGTTAATGGTTTTTTTTACTACATATTTATAACTTCTGTTGCCATAAGTAAATTTTACAGAACCCACATCTGCCTTAAAACTGTTTTTGGTTTGTCAAATTTTATCCATAAGCATTTCCAAAACAAACACAAAACCTAAAGATAACATTTTAATCTAAAAGTATTAATATGAATTATATATTTTGTTAGTGATGATTATATGCAGTTATCAGGAACAATATTTCTCAACATTTCAGTACTATATTAGAATGCAGATATTTGTATTGTTGATGTTAACTTTTTTTACTGTCATAATTTTTGTTAAACTTTAATCCACTGTTTGCCATTATCTAAACTCATTTTAAAACAGTATATTGCAATTTTTATGCTAGTAAAGCCTACATTAAAATATAATTATCTAATAATTAGATAGTTAGTGCATAGACAATCCCTTCCCTGCTCAGACTTAATCCAGATCTTATCATGACTTATCCACAATATTGTGATGTAGATTAGGTTATCTCCCTTTGTACAGATTATATGCTACAATAGTGTATAGTAATACATGAAGATGATCTGAACAATGAATACTATAACCATTATTAATTAATTGTTATTAAAACATCCCATATGTTCGTACTACACGAGATAAGTAACAAGATATATTAAATTGATACAGTAAAAGTTCATTTGTTTGTTAATTCCAGTTGCCATGGTTAATTGTGAGTTTGTGGAATTCATTGGAAAGACGTATAATGTTAAGTGTTCAAATATATAAGAACACCTTCAAAAATGTATGTACTACATTTATTTGATCGAGATAATGAATTTAATAATGTACTTTCAAAACTGTATTTGTGATGTTCTGAGATAATGATTTTTGTTAAGAATTCTTGATTGTGCCTTTCATTATTAAAGATACCAGTGAATTCTCATATAAGTGATTTCTACAACAAAAATTTTTTTTTTCTTTTTTTTTTTTGATAAAAGTTTGAAAAGATTTAATTTTTTTAGTGCATGTATAAATACCATATGATATTATAATATCATGAGCTATTTAATTTTTACTTAAAAAACTTTAAAAAAGTCTTTCTACTTGTTTTAAATGAATATTATTAAATTATTTTATACTTGAATTATTGAAGTTATTGTCATGTCAATTGTTTATGCCCTTTATTAGAAAATAAAACCTTATGATGCACAATTTTATAGTAAGTACACTAAAATTGAATTCGCTAGTATCAAATAGAATGCAAGATAAAATGTATACAGTGCAAGTTGGAATCATGGTATATAGCAAAGAAAAGTTGTGTATGTGTGTGTTGTTTACACCGGTGGTACATTTTTATGCACTTTGTCAAAACATTTTACATTTTTATTATTAGATATCTGAAGAAACATCTAGTGCCAAAGTCTGACATTAGATTAATAAAATAACAATTTATGGTCAATTATGAGGGCTTTTAGTCAGTTTAAGATGATACTTACAAAAATGTTTAAAATGTACATGGTCACAGGCTTATTATAATTTGAATATCATACTGTCACAAGTTTTAACACTATAATCACTGTTTTCACTTGTATTGATAAACAACAGATTTTTGTAATTTTTCCAGAAGCCTAGTTAAACATACTTTCAAAATTTGTTTCAAGAAATTTAGGTCATCATACTTAATTGCAAAAAATATGCAGTTCAAAATTGTCGCATAAGTTTAAAGCTGATAAAAGGGAAGATAGAATTGTTTTATTTGACATAAAAAAATGAGCATAAAATGCAGATAAGATGGTTGTTCGTTAAGATTATCACTACTAGTATATATTAAGAGAGATTGACATGTTCAAAATACCCCACATCTTCTTTGATTCATAAATTAAAAAATTAAATTTTGACTTCCAGACAGGTTTATGTAATATCTTTTGGCCATAAGAAATCACATATGTTCATCCTTATTTGTTGTGGTGTAAAAACTGGGGGGAAATGAAAAATATTTACTGTAAATTCAGAAATTATTGCGATGTTTTTATTATTGCAAAAAATGCGACAGGGTTATAATCACAATAATGTAAACTCGCATTTTGAATTTTTTATATGAATTTAACAGGATTTTTCTCAATATCGCAAAAATTAAAATCGCATTTTAGTCTAAAATGACAAAATCGCAATAATAAATTCACGCAATAATTTCTGAATTTACAGTTTACGGTTATATGAGAGAGATAAAAAGTCCCGTTTTAGACGAAGAATAGGATTCAGTTTAATGATGAGTAAAAGATAGTTTTATGCAGAACTATTTAAGAATTACATATTTTAAATAAAAATTTGAAAAAGGTAAAGATGAAAACCGAATTTTTTATTTGTTGGTTTTGAAATTATTTTGTTACTTTATGCATCATTGAAATCCTATATCCTAACTGTTTTGTTTAGTTTCTGTCATGTTAAGAAATTGTTCCTTTAATGATAATTCTGATGTTTTTAATCAGAAGATTTGTAAATAAATATGTATATTAAAAGATTGAAAAGTTTATTGGTTTTGTTTTAATACTTGATATATATAGTGGTCAGCTTTGTTTTCATAGTTAGATCTTTTCTCCGATATTTTAACAATAGAGGTTAACTATATTTGTTGCATGGAATTATTATGGTGAACAGGCACATCTTGCAGGGTTCATCTGACCTTGACTTCATTTTAATGGATAATTGATAATGTCAACTTTATGTGTTAACTTGTAGTAAAACCTATATCTCAAGTAAAGCAGGCCAGACATTTCAGCGTGTGCACTCGTGTTAGGTTTTTATACGACCGCAAAAAAATTTTTGTGGTCATATATTGGTATGACGTTGGCGTCGTAGTCGTCGTTGTCGTTGTCGTCCGAAGACACATTGGTTTTCGCACTCTAACTTTAGTTTAAGTGAATGTATCTCTATGAAATTTTACCACAAGGTTCAATACCACAAAAGGAAGGTTGGGATTGGGGGTTATGGTACCAACAGTAAAGGAATTAGGAGCCAAAAAGGGGCCAAAAATAAGCATTTTTGTAACTTCCAGACATAACTTGTGTGTAAGTGTATGGATCTCTCTGACATTGAACCACAAGGTTCCATATCACAAAAGGAATTTTGGGATTGATTTTGGGGGTAATTGCTTCAAAATTTTAGGAATTAGGGGCCAAAAAAGGGGCTAAAAACAAGCATTTTTCTAGTTTCATGACAATAACTTGTGTGTAAGTGCATGGATCTTTCTGAAATTGTACTACAAGGTTCCATATCACAAAGGGAAAGCTGGGATTGAGTTTGGGGGTAATTGCCGAAACGTTTAGGAATTGGGGGCCAAAAATAAGCATTTTTCTAGTTTCCAGACAATAACTTGTGTTCAAGTGTATGGATCTCTCTGAAATTGTACTGCAAGGTACCTAACCACAAAGGGAAGGCTGGAATTGATGATGGGGGTAATTGCCTCAATATTTTAGGAATTAGGGGCCAAAAAGGGGCAAAAAACAAGCATTTTTCTAGTTTCAGGACAATAACTTGTGTGTAAGTGTATGGATCTACTGAAATTGTACTACAAGGTTCCATATCACAAAGGGAAAGCTGGGTTTGAGTTTGGGGGTAATTGCCCTAAACGTTTAGGAATTGGGGGCCAAAAAGGGGCCAAAAATAAGCATTTTTCTAGTTTCCAGACAATAACTTGTGTTCAAGTGTATGGATCTCTCTGAAATTGTACTGCAAGGTACCATATCACAAAGGGAAGGCTGGGATTGAGTTTGGGGGTGATGAATCATAAGGGGGTTCAAAAATTTTTGGGGGGGGGATTTTTTTTTTTTTCCTTTTTTTTATTTTTTTCCTTTTTTTTTTCTTTTAAAATTTTCCATTTTAAGTTGGTTATTTCTGATTTATATTAAAAAGCAAATAATAATGATATAGTAGGAGATACACACCAAATAGGATGTGTAAATTATTATATAATAAGTATTGTGCAATAGCAAGAAATTTTCAATTGCACAGTTTTGCACAATAGCAAGAAATCTTCAATTGCACAGTATTGCACAATAGCAAGAAATCTTCAATTGCACAGTATTGTGCAATAGCAAGAAATATCCAATAGCGCAATATTGCGCAATAGCAAGAAATTGTCAATTGTACAGTATTGCGCAATAGCAAGAAATATTTAATTGCACAGTATTGTGCAAATGAAGATACTTCGTATAAATTGCTTATTTCTTGACCAATTTCAATGGGGTTTTTTCTTGAATTCTTGGGGTTCTTTAATATGCTGAATCTAAACGTGTATTTTGTTTTTGGATTTTGGGCCCCGTTTTTAAATTGGTCCACATTGAGGTCCAAAGGGTCCAAAATTAAACTTTGTTTGATTTCATCAAAAATTGAATTATTGGGGGTTCTTTGATATGCCGAATCTAACCGTGTATTTAGATTCTTAATTTTTGGTTCTGTTTTCAAATTGGTCTACATTAAGGTCCAAAGGGTCCAAAATTAAACTTAGTTTGATTTTAACAAAAATTGAATTCTTAGGGTTCTTTGATATGCTGAATCTAAACATGTATTTAGATTTTTGATTATGGGCCCAGTTTTCAAGTTGGTCCAAATCGGGGTCCAAAATTAAACTTTGTTTGATTTCAACAAAAATTGAATATATGGGGTTCTTTGATATGCTGAATCTAACCATGTATTTAGATTTTTGATTTTTGGGCCCCGTTATCAACTTTGTCCACATTGAGGTCAAAAGGGTCCAAAATTAAACTTTGTTTGATTTCATCAAAAATTGAATTCTTGGGGTTCTTTGATATGCTGAATCTAACCATGTATTTAGATTTTGGATATTGGACCATAATAGGTGAATGTCCAATTTAAAATTTTTAAGTTCTTAGACCACATTCATTGTGTGTCAGAAACCTATGCTGTGTCAAATATTTAATCACAATCCAAATGCAAAGCTGTATCAAGCTTGAATGTTGTGTCCATACTTGCCCCAACTGTTCAGGGTTCGACCTCTGCGGTCGTATCAAGCTGCGCCCTGCGGAGCATTTTATTGAAAGGTATGATGAAAGCAGATTTTGTATGTATAAGATACATCTATGAGGGTGTTAGGCCGAATAGGTGTATCTAACTTACACCAAGATATTATTGTCAATGCAGAATGATAAGTTTTCAAAAATTTAGGAGGAGGGTCTTTCAGCAATTTGACCATATTGTTATTGATTAGCATGATAGAATATCCAATTTCATTTAACAACATCTTGGTGTATAAAAGTAAATGTTGGGTATTTGTCAATCAGACAGCAACCCCATGATACAAAAAACATGAATATTTTATATTAGACAACCACTGATTAGTACCCTGATGTTAAACAGGTACATGTGGCAGGGTTATCAGCTGTCTCCTTGTCTTTGTAGGGGATATGAATAATTCTGTTTAATGATATATATCTTGAAACAGGATTAAGACATGAACCAACTTCTTCAAACGAAAAAAATACTGAGTTAAGCATGGTTTTGTCTCCACTCCCCTAATAGTAGGAGTACCAAGTGGGTTTTCTTCCAAAACTTATATAGAACTACCTTCAAATATTTAATGGAATGGGAATTATCAATGAAACATCGAAAAACGATAAGATCAGACAGATGGTCATTAAAAGGTAAGAAGATAGGAGGGGAAGATAACCAAAGTCAGGAGTAAAAGGAACAGACATACCATGACTAAAAGACAAAAGTCTGTTAGTAACTACATGTATCAAAGTGCTTGTTATTACTGAAGGGGTAAAGATAGCTATAATTTTGAAATGTGTACATTAAGAAATGTTTGGAATTTGGGTTACCTTTCTTTGTCCACATGTCATTTTCATATATCAGAAAAATTTTACATAGCATTAAGTTGTTACTGATGTAGTTTGTAGTTTCCATCTTATCATTAATTGGGTCAGAATTTTTATTTCAAGATGTGGATATTGTTAGCAAATGCAGGCTCAAGCATAAGGTTTTATTTCTTTTCAAGGAGTTTTTTCTATGTCCAAGGACCATAACTCTGCAAATATCACACAACTGGAGTAAAACTCAAACTTATCTGTAACTTCTTACGACAGGACTAGATACGAAATATATCTAATCTGGGTTTAAGCACTACACAAAAAAGTGGAAAACTGATAATTTTTAGCAACTTTCTATATTCTAGGTTACAACTTCCACAAATATTTCTCAACCGAAACAAAATTCAAACTGGATCTGTTACTTCTTAGGATATGACCATACAACAAATATCTAAGCAATTTATTCACACATAACAGAAGGAAATGACATAATTTCATGCAATTTCTTATGTCCAAGGGCCATAACTTCTCCAGAATTAGCTTTAAAGCAGAATGAAACGTCAAACGATCCACAATTACCTATGAAATGACCTTCAACCAAATATCTGAATGACCTTCTACCAAATATCTTAATGACCTACCAAATATCTTAATGACCTTCTACAAAATATTTTAATGACCTTCTACCAAATATCTTAATGACCTCCTACCAAATATCTTAATGACCTTCTACCAAATATCTTATCTTTATTGATCAGGCATTTAAAAAACTGAGTAAAAAACTTACCTGATGGACATACTAACAGATCGACAAGAGTTGAGACTTGCTTTTGTCCCATTGGACTTTGATGCACAATGTAGTTACTTAATTTCTTCAACAGCATTCATTAGATTCAACTGTGTTACTGTATATATACTGGTACAAATAACGGATTTTTCTGTGGCAGTAACTTGTTATTTATAGGGATAATTTGTAGGACAGGGTTTCCAGAAATGATAATTTTAGTAAAATATCATATGTAAATCAGGCAGTTTGCTTCATAGAGAAGAACTAGCCAAATTATATGATCATCTGTCTTTGAAATGACCTTGTAGACAATGTCTAAAAGTAAATGCTAATGAACAAAACGTAATAAATGCTGAAAAAACATGTGGTTGTCTTTGATTGCTGTCTGTCATATCTGTTTTTATACTACAGCAAAAAAATTTTGTGGTCGTATATTGGTATCACGTTGTCCTGGTTAATGGACAATTTTAAAGCAGTGTTTTTCACTCAGTTACTGACCATAACCCCCAAAATCAATCCCAACCTTCCTTTTGTGGTTATAAACCTTGTGTTTAAATTTCATAGATTTCTATTTAGTTACACTAAAGTTATTGTCCAGAAACCAACTGTCATCGGACGACGATGCCTACGTGATACCAATAAACGACCGCAAAACAATGACCGCAAAATTTTTATGATGTATTTTAATGGGTAATTATGGTTGCAAACTCCATTAGAAAATTGAATTGAGATTATGACCTTATCTTGAGGGAAAGAATTTTTTTTGGAAAAAGGGAAAGGGGGAATTGAAAAACAAAATTTGGGGGGGGGGGGGGGGGGAGGCTCAGCGAAGCAATTTGTTAGTATATTGTTTTATAATAAATCAGCAGTGGTTTACTTACAATTTGTCACACAAAGGCCTTTTAAAGGTTCTATGCAGTATGGGTTTTCCTCATTGTTGAAGACTAGTTACCTATAGATGATTATTTACACATCATTGTTCAGTTTTGAATAGCTGTTTCATTAGTTTATCATACCACATCTTATTTTAATATGGTATCAAATCCAGAAAAAATCTAAAGTTTTAAAACATTATAAGTGGATTTGGCATTAAATTTCGGATAGCTGTGGGAGTAAACCATATGTAATGACAATGGCATAACCTGACCTTGACATTACTTCGTGGTTCAGTGATCAATGTTAAGCTTTACAAAATAAGATACTGCAAATATTCAGAAAATGTTATTTGACATTTAAAATGGTTGTAAATAGCACATGTCAAACTGAAATGGTTCATCTGACCTTGGTCTTATTTTATCGTTCTATTGGTCACGGTTTTGCTTTCATTATTAGGTCAGTTTCTCAGATCCTACAAGCAACATGTCAACTACATATGGTGTATTGAATAATTAAAGCTTACTTTTCTGTCTGAATTGATTCAAATGACATTGACCTTATTTCATTGTTAAGTTTTTGTGATTACCACATATTCCAAGATACTGTTACTGTTAGTTACAGGTTAACTGTATATAATCATTGTATGGTGTATTTGTACATTTGACAGGGTTAAACTGACCTTGACCTTATTTCATTGTTAAGTTTTTGTGATTACCATAGATTCCAAGGTACTGTTACCATTAGTTATAGGTTAACTGTATAGAATCAGTGTATATGTACATCTGACAGGGTTCAACTGACCTTGACCTTATTTCATTGTTAAGTTTTTGTGATTACCATAGATTCCAAGGTACTGTTACCATTAGTTATAGGTTAACTGTATAGAATCAGTGTATATGTACATCTGACAGGGTTCAACTTACAATGACCTCTCTTTTACTACAAATGTTACTTAGTAACTTACTGTAAATTCAGAAATTTTTACCTTCATTTATTATTACAATTGGGGAAATACAAGATTTAATTACATTATGATTTCAGGAAATACTTTATTCAAATAATGCAATCAAAATTTTAAAACTCTAATGACAGTTTTTATTTTTGCAATACCTATCCTGTTGTTATTTTTGCAGTAATAAAAACATCACAAAAATTTCTGAATTTACATTTTACTTATCAACCATCTTCCTTCTATAACTTTGAAAACTTCAAAAAGAAAAATCACTCACAAGGCATAAATAAAATGTTAAGAATGACAAATAATATAAGCTTTATTTTTTAATTTTTTTGTTATTATTTACATTGTGATGACATTTTGTGTATGCACCATTACATTTGTGTGAAATCTAAACAAAGCCTCTGATACACTGTTGTCTTGTTTTCTTCTTTCTGTGGAGCTCTACCACTACCCTTCAGTATAAGTATATAATTATGTGTATTTTTTTTTTAATATTACAATAAATTACATGATAACAATACTTAATTTTACAATGAAAAAGTATAAAAGGGGGAAGTGATCAAACATTAACACCGGAAATTTACATCTCATATATTTCAAACTCCAGCAGATGTCCTCGTGGAAAAATATTTTGAACTCCATTACAAGTCCTAATGGAAGATTAAATTGTGTATTTCAAACTCCACCTGATGCCCTTATGGTCTAGGTTAAGTAATGCTTATGTTGTTAAGAAGTATACTCAGACTTGGGAATTTTACATATATCTTTTATAATACTTGAAGACAACAATCATTAAATAAACTGAAAATTTGAAATTTTTGCAACTGTCACATCAAAACGAGACTGAAGAAATCTTTATATACAATACATTTTTAAGTAACTGTACAAGCCATCCAATCATTAAAACTCAATCAAATTTAAGTTAATATAACTCAGAGAAATTAAGCAACTGTATGAATGCACACTGCCTTGAGATTTGATTTAACAATAATAAAGTACACTGCCTCAATTTGGTTTTTATGATATTCAATGACTATAATTTGCAACCTTTCCAGAACTCATTGAGGCACAATCAATATAATATTTGAATGACTCCTGTAGAAACCAAACATTTAGGCACATGAATTTATCAACGTAACATTTCCCTGAGGTAATATTCTGTCAACAATTTCTACTTCATAATTTTTGTGAATCAAATTTGAAGTCCCCCCACAAAAGAAATGAGGCAGTATTCACTGTTTACCGATTAATCATGCAAAGTGCTTTATCATGAAATTATTCGTGATAAGGGATTGCAAATCTACCTTAAATAATGATTCAAAATCTACTTTTACGGAAATTCAAAATTTGTCAGGAGTTCTATGATAAGTAAAACATAATCAAACATTAATGTAATGATGGTAAAGAGGACAAATCATCTCTACTGTACAGTACTAAATAGCACTTTAAAATAATGAGTGGTAGAAGCAAGTTTAAGAGGCACATAATGATAAAATCTATTTGGAAATGCAAACACGAGTCCATACATGTCTCACACATTCATTATTTTTCTATGTCATTAACTAAAAAGCACAAAATAACTACAACTGTAGTTCTTCACAAATATAGAAATCTTGCTTCAATAAGAAGCAGAAATACAGATCTTGTTATATTCATCACAAACATTTCATGTGTAGAAAAAATTATAAAACACTTCAAGTTTAACATTTGAGAATACACATAAATCTGAAGCACAAATATTCTGTGTACTAAAAAAGAATTCTTAAAGATATTGAACATGTATTGTGTTTCATGAAGCACCCCAAGGAACAAAAATTTCATAATTTTGTATGTGTTTTGATTTTTATAAGAATACAAATGTTCATGGAAGTGTTTTCATGGGATGCCATACACGAGTCTAGAAAAGTTTGACGGTAAGACTGAAATTTGTACATTATCAAAATGTGTTGCCTTTTCTAGGCTGTTTACTGTGATGTTTAAACGATTTGAAACTGGCAAGCTGTCAGTAAGATAAAGATAATGTATTGGGTAATCTGAAATCATCAATAATACTCTAAAATTCATGCTTTAATTATAAATAACATGTGTTAGGATTTGAAAAATTACCAAATTCAGGTGAAATTTTTTTCAGACTCTTGGCGTCATGTATGTTATGATGGAAATTCAAAAGTACAAAAGTCAACAATATAGAAATAATAGTCAACATAAACAACACAGAGACAATAAATAAACAACAAAATATATAATAACAACTCAGAATCAATAAAAGCACTATAAGGTATAGCATCAAGCAAATAAATCTGATTCTTAACACATTTTTTTGGGACACTGTTTCAATTAATGTGCAAAAGAGAAAATTAAGGGCTATTATAGAAATAAATGTAGGTCAGAGGTCAGAAGTCATTTTTAATTTTAATTTTAATTCAATTTTTTAATAAAGGATTACATCATTACCTCTTCAGGCATATTTATAAAAACAACCACACACATAAAATGTCTACTGAATTGTCTTCAAACACACAAACATTTCTGGAATAGCCTTAATAAGATTTTTTCAAACAAAAAAAACAAAAACAAAATAAACTTAATTAGATCTTACGAGTGCCCTATAAAATGTATTCACTTATTTTTTAACACAATTTATTAAAAGAATTAACACCGGCATCATCGTTCACACAATTCAAAATATGAGAGCAACATCAAAATGTATAAAATATAAATACTGTACATCTTAACCATTTTTAGTACCTAATTTTCCTATTTTTTTTTATTAACTAGGAATAGTTTCAATTTTTCACATAAAACTAAAACCAATATGATACTTATAAAGACTTTGTAAATTAAATTTTAGGAATCTTGTAGAGAGTGATTATTGCCCTTATATCAGGTGCTGGAGATACTATCACATTTACATGCTGCCTACATAATTCTTTAGATCATTTTGTGTAACAGGAGGATAATCAAAAGAATAAAAAGATTTTTCATTTTCAAATTCATAACCACTAAATCTGTCCTTTTAAAATGCTTTTTTATTAAGTTAATTTTTATACTACAAAAAAGTTTGTTTTGCATCACTGGAACAGGAAAATTCATATAAGGGGAGACAACTACTTGGTTCCAAATTGCTAAAAAAATGGTTAGCTTCCTTGTAAGTTCTTTCAGTGTAAGTTTTATGATATTCCTTTCAAATAATATGATAAATTTCTCTGGCATAGACAGAGAATATGTAGAATCACATTGTCACTTCTATCTCATTCACACTTATGTATGAACATGTGATACATAAATAAACAATAACAAATTTGACGTACAAACATGTGAATTGAGAGTAACAGTGATAAAATATATATATGTACAGCAAAATAGTTATCTCCATTTAAAAGGCACATACACAGTGTGAAAACCATGGTAACATTAAATAGCACAGCTGAGGTAAAAATCTCAATGTCACAGTGAAGCTTGGGGTCAAATTTAAAAAAGGTCAACACCATGGCAACAATTACATAATATTTAACAAAGAACAGTTTATATGACTACTTATATAACTCAGCTATAATACATGTTCTAGGTAGCCCACGGGCCGCCGTGATCAATACGAGGCCGTTTTAACATAGGTCCATCATAGTCTAACGAATGTGATATGCCTGTGGGCGATGAATTGTTACTATGTGAGTGGTTGATATGACCAGGAGAAAGATGATTTTGGCCTGTTGACGGAGGTCTTAACGTATGATGATTCGATGGAGTAGTCGAGTCTCGAGGTGGAGATAATGGTTCGCTTTTTATATTCATAGATATATTATGATGATTCATCGTATTAACATTTAGAGGCGATATACTGCCTCCTCCGTGTCCACTGGTCCTGCAATAGAAAGGTTAAAAGTTCAAATAAAGGGTTGTAGTGAAATGTAAAACATTCAATTATAAATTTGATAGCAAAAGGTGGTAAACAATGTCATCAAGAGAATAAAGGTGAACTTGTTGTTGCTTATAGATGGAATTCAGTTAGATAAATAATACAAATAACAGAAAAAAATTGATGAAAATAAAGGTGCATTTCAAAAGTCAGGAGCCTGTAATTTGGTGGTTATAATTGTTGCTGTGTTTTAGATTTGTCGTTTGATTATTGTTTTGTACATAAATCAGACCATTAGTTTTCTTGTTAAGCATTTAAACATATGTATCATATATTGATTGATTAGAGGTAAGAATAGTTACAAGTTTTAAGCTGGATGAGAACCACTGATGTAACGAGGGTTCATACCACAAGAGGTAAGAATACTTACGAGTGTAAAGCTGGATGAAAACCACTGATACTTCCAGGCCCATTACCTCCAGGAGGTATCCCTGAGGTGAGTGATCCACCGCTCCATTGTTGTGAGTAGTTTGGCATGTTACTATTCATATCTATAGTGTTGTTATTCAAGGCAAAATCATCTGAAAGACCATATACAATAAAAAACAGTGCCATAAAATAACAGAGACATAAAGTAAACAAACTTAGCTTTGGTAAAACTGTTTTTTTTTTTTAGTTTTATAACAGCAGGCATCATATTGAAGGACTAAATGGATATAGGATCAAAGCATCAAAATACTTTCATGATAGTTTGCGAGTTTTATATTTTACTTCTGTTTTCATTTTATTTCCTTTTTTAAATATACTTGTTTTGTTATTTACATTTTATATCCTGGATGTTATATTTCATTAACACTTATAATGGGAGATATTTCCAACATCATAAAATTGAGAATGGAAATGGGGAATATGTCAAAGAGACAACAACCCGACCAAAGATACCAAAATATGCCATCTGCAATGACCTGACAACAGTATCGTAACTATATCCCTTCTGAATAAGTCTGTTTAAAGGTTTGGTTAGATTTTGAGGTGAATGCCGACATTCTTGTGCTTTGTAAAGAATATTACCATAAAAATTGGATGTGAAATACCTGAACGTATAAGATGTCTGCATGTTGATCTATATTTACGAATAATGTCCTTGTACTGATGATAAAATTTAGTAAATGTTTTGACTAGTTTGTGATATCGAAAACCCTGGTGTAATAATTTTTCAGTAATACAGAGATTTTTTTTAAATCAAATACGTTGTTACATACTCGAGCGAATCGAACAAGTTGAGATATATAAACACCATAAGATCACTGCAAAATGCCCTTTAAAAAACAATTAAATTTTACGAAATGTGTTTTCCTCCCATCATATACCATGACATTGGAATAAGAAACTTAAATCCCACTGTGTACAAACTTTTGGCTCATGAATGAGTGAAGATAAAACAAATGCAAAATTGCAAGTTTTAAATACAAGTGTAACTTGCTCAAGGACCTTGTAAAACAACAAATTAAGCCAAGCATTAAGTACAGAATGGTCACACAATTTTCATTAAATACAGCAGAAAAGTGATAAAATTATGTAACTAACATCTAATGTGGTTTATTATGGAGACAATTATTTACAATAATATATGTTGTCATAAAGCAAAAGTGATTAACACCACCATTATTTTGACATGTGACAATTGTTTGCAAATAGATATCCACGTCCATATGGCTCACTAATGTGATTTTCTGACTGACAAAGTGTAACGTAAATATGTCCATTGTAGCATTAACAACATGAGACATACCATAGAAATTCAAACTTGTGTAGAATGAAATTTATGTTAATAATTTAGCACTTTTAGTGTAAAATTATTCCTGTTCTACACATTATGTAAATAATTAATTAAAAAGACTTACTCTTGCATGAACAATTGTTATTCATATGTAATGATAAGGTATTGATATCTGTTGTAATTGTCAGTGGTTATTGATGCATCAAGTTTTTGTTTAAACTTATACTATTATTTCAAGAGAGTAATACAAACTTTATTATTACTTCCTTGTTTCAATTGTTACAATTCTAGGGCCCTTCTTTTGGCAAATAATTTATGGCAAATTTTAAATGATCTAGTAGATTGACACTATATCTAGGCCTATAGACAATGTTTTTTATTTGGTGTTTTGTTCTTTGAGGATTGTTTGGTGTATAGTTCTTTGAGGATTATTTGGTGTATAGTTCTTTGGGGATTATTTGGTGCATTGATATTTGAGGATAATGGGTACATGTTTATCCCAGACAAAGTGATATGTACTTATATTAATGCAACTTTATAGAAAATATCATTGATCTTTCACAAGTAGTTCCTATCAAACTGATTTAAGCAGAAAACTTAACATTGAAAATTGCTAATTAATTCAAAGTCACTGGACTGTGACTTAGGAAGCAGGGCCTCTAAATAGTTGTCAAACTGATATGTACTAATATTAATGCAACTCTATAAAAAATATCAATGATCTATCAAAATTTAGGCAAAAATAAATTTATAAAAATTTACTGAAAAAAACAGCTCAAATTAAATTTTCAAAATGATTGGGAGAAAATGCAAGATTTTTATTTACAGAATCAAGGCAAATTGGACACTTATTTTTCATTCAAGAGGTCATTTGACTATGAAAATTATTTAGATTTAAAGCACCCCCAAAAACATTTGTTAACAAAATACAGACTCAGCAATCACTGTTTAAGAATTGAAACTGGCAGACATGAACGTTTTATCAATGTATGTGGTAAATATGAAATATTACCTCGACATAAGAGGATATGTTTATATTGTAATTCAAATTCTATTGAAAATGAAATGCACTTTCTTCTGGAATGCCCTCTTTACAATAACCTCAGAAGAGATATGACTGATTATATAAAAAAATACCCCAGTTTAGTTAATTTAAACAGAAATGATCTTCTTACATGGATCATGAGTAATGAAGATAGCAGTTTTTTATCTGTTTTATGTGCATACCTTGATAAAGGCCTGCAACTTAGAAAATCAGAAAATTAGTTAAATAGATAGCAAAATTATCTCCCCTTGACCACTGACCGTTTCCTCATGCATTTGAACTATTATATAATGTTTCTTTAATCACTCTGTAATGTTTATGTCATGTTGTTATTAATGTTATGCTCTTAATGGGCCCTTTAATTTGGAAAAATAAAAAATATTGTATTGTATTGTATCACAAATAGGTAGTTCCTATCAAACTTACTTCACCAGAAAACTTGACAATTGTTGAATCATCATCCACCATGGCTAGGCATGACAAATAACTAAGCATGCTTATTCAAATTTACACTTGCCTTTAGTAAGAAATGGTAGGACTTTTGATAAATTGACTGTGTTATCTCCCCTTACTTTATGAATACTTACTTGAATGATATGAAGTAGGCAATGGGGACGGATAGTTTGTAATATGGTTACTAGGGCTTGTAAGTGACACTGCTGGAGTCAGGAGAGAAGAATTTGTAGACCTTGATTGTGTCTGAAAAGCAAAAAAAAAAATCAAAACATGAGCTAATTACATTAATGGTAGTTTGTTATTACAGTAAATGTTAGCAGATTCATTGGCAAAGTTCTATTTTTGAAAACTAAATTATATAACACCTTGTTTTGTTGTTGCATCAGTAACTTAATTTTTCTTCATTTAGGCTGTTGGTGCCTATTTCATGGATGTACCATCATAATGACCTTATCACTGAAGGACATTTATCACACAACAATCAATCAATCAAGTTATCAACCTTCAACAGAAGGAGAATTTTGAATTTCACCAACAGTATCTTTTTTTAGTTATCTCATAACAGATGATAAGTAATTATGTGCTCTTTTTAAAGTGCAGCTATCTTGATCAAGTTCAAAAAAATACGTTAAGTTAAAATATATGAACTTCCATTATCATCCACAGAAACTGATTACTTACTGGATCAGGACTCAACATGTTAGCTCTAGAGTTGGGCATCATTGGTCTCATATTATGCTGCCGTGATGGCGGAGATTGTCGTGAAAGTCCTTTGTTGACCATGGCACCAGGAGAAGGACATGGGGAAACCCTGTGTGAGTATCCATTGGGTTGGGAAGCTCCTGTTAAATCTACCATGTTACCTACAAAACAATTGTCTATGTTTATTCATTTCTCTGCAAGACAAAAATATTTCTGACCTCTATCGAGTAATAACGGTTCAACATTCTAGGTCAATAGAAGTAAAACACTCAGTCTTAATACATTTGTTTATTTTCACTACATCTACCTTATAAATTTAGTCTGCACCTATTTCTGAAGTTATAACGTTTGGTCTGATGTTGATCATTTCTATGCAACCATTATCTACATACAAATAGCTTGTAAAACTAATTATTGGTCATATCATGAAAATCACACAAAAACGGTGGATAGTGGATTATCCAGTTTCCTTAAATTAATAAATATTGTATTATATTGTATGCAGAAAAGGTTATTGTGTATATCATCGTGATTCTATATGAATATTTTTCTAATTTGTTTATTTTTTAAAGTAGACCTCATGGTAAAACAATCATACAGTATGAGTATTATGTCAATGTAGTGAGGAGGTATTTGTTTGTATGTTTGTTTATATTTTAAGAAATTCAACTCATGGTAAAATAATCAGTATGGAGTACCACTATTAATTATGTTAATTCATAATAGGGGCCGTCTTGACCTTGTTGTAGGGTATGAATAATTCGTTCATTGTTGAATACCCTACATCAACTGTCAAGATGAAGAACAAGAATAAACGAATAACAGCGATTTTGTCCCATGTACATTTACTCCATATCCTTTCATTTTCTTATGCCTAGATGTTATTTAAGAAATTGTTCAGTAAAGAGTAAATTGCCTTCATTTAGAGTTCTCTATTAGGTTGAGGAAAAATGAACTAGGATGAAATGGTGTCTGAAACAACCCTGGACTACTAATGTTTATTTAGGACTACTTACCTGTAGAATTTGGCCTAGGACTAACACTTGGATGAACAGGTGGCTGTAATAACCCTGGACTACTGATGTTTATTTAGGACTACTTACCTGTAGAATTTGGCCTAGGACTAACACTTGGATGAACAGGTGGCTGTAATAACCCTGGACTACTGATGTTTATTTAGGACTACTTACCTGTAGAATTTGGCCTAGGACTAACACTTGGATGAACAGGTGGCTGTAATAACCCTGGACTACTGATGTTTATTTAGGACTACTTACCTGTAGAATTTGGCCTAGGACTAACACTTGGATGAACAGGTGGCTGTAATAACCCTGGACTACTAATGTTTATTTAGGACTACTTACCTGTAGAATTTGGCCTAGGACTAACACTTGGATGACCAGGTGGCTGTAATAACCCTGGACTACTAATGTTTATTTAGGACTACTTACCTGTAGAATTTGGCCTAGGACTAACACTTGGATGAACAGGTGGCTGTAATAACCCTGGACTACTAATGTTTATTTAGGACTACTTACCTGTAGAATTTGGCCTAGGACTAACACTTGGATGAACAGGTGGCTGTAATAACCCTGGACTACTAATGTTTATTTAGGACTACTTACCTGTAGAATTTGGCCTAGGACTAACACTCGGATGAACAGGTGGCTGTAATAACCCTGGACTACTAATGTTTATTTAGGACTACTTACCTGTAGAATTTGGCCTAGGACTAACACTTGGATGACCAGGTGGCTGAAATAACCCTAGACTACTAATGTTTATTTAGGACTACTTACCTGTAGAATTTGGCCTAGGACTAACATTTGGATGAACAGGTGGCTGTAATAACCCTGGACTACTAATGTTTATTTAGGACCCCTAACGTGTAGAATTTGGCCTAGGACTAACACTTGGATGAACAGGTGGCTGTAATAACCCTGGACTACTACTGTTTATTTAGGACTACTTACCTGTAGAATTTGGCCTAGGACTAACACTTGGATGAACAGGTGGCTGTAATAACCCTGGACTACTGATAGTTGGGTTTGGTGACATTCCATGATGTAAAGACTGGCTCATGTAAGGAGAGTTGTGCATTTGCATTCCAGGGGAGGGAACTCCAGGTGGAGGCAATTGATTAGGATATGGACTCAAATTGTGCTGAAAAATATAAACTGATAATTAAAACAATTGAAAATGCCTACATACTGGATATCAACTCTATGAGCATAGATAAAAACAAATTGCTGTATGTTGATTAAACATTTGAAACTGCCTCAATCATATTGAATATGTCATGAAAATAAAATGAATTCTTATAAATCATACTTATAATCTATAGATTACCTCCTGTAAATTAAATTTTTTTCATTCTTTTATTTCCCTATAACGTGCAAGATTGATGCAGTTACTGAGAAAGAAATCCTTCAGGTATTAAACCAAACTTATATCTTAATAAAGAGTGGGTGTTGTATTCTTCACAACAGTAATCCATGTCAATTTGAAAGTGGAAAAAATCCATTAGTTTAGAAATCCCTTCCTGAAAATGAAATCCAACAACTTATCAACAGCATGATTTTTGTTACAATCTGATGAAGATGATGCCAGAAATGGTTATCTTGGTCTAAATGTGCTACAGTCGTAAAACATTTTAGTTTTATTGTATTGTAGGATGTTGACTCAATAACCCAACACCTCCTTTTATTTATATTGTTTTGAGCAAAAATAAGCCAATTAATAATAACAAATATTACGGCAACCACAGGGCACATCAAGATAATTGTTAGATATCTCAAGGTAAATTGTCCTGACCATGCCTGGAATATCTGCACCTGGACATTTAGCAAACAACAATCAATCAATCTTAATCTAAAAGTCACATTTGGCTTTGACCATGAAGCTAATGCTAACACCTCACTACAAGTTCAAGATGTCTCCTAGTGTAAGTTTGATCGGAATTTTGTGATTCGTAAAAAAGTGACTAACACTTCAATTTCTGAAACGTAATATTTCTATGCAATAACTTTACTAATCAAATGTCATATTGGTAATAATAAAATCTTATACTAGTATATAAATTGTAACTGAACGTTCAAGGATGTTCAAAAGACAAAATCTGTCATACCTCTAATAATTTAACTATTTGATGAGTTTTTTTAACAAGCCAAATTTAGGACCATTTTACTGTTTGTTTGATGTGATATAAAACACTAGTTATAACAGTGAAAATGTGACTGGAAAAAGTGTTGTTAGGGTACGCTTATATACTAGTTTATAGTCGACCATCCCTAATGGTGAAATTGTATGGAAGAGGTGTTGTACTTTACTTGGATTAAAAGTTTATTTAATTTTCTACATCTAAATCAACATTGGCTGGGCTCAATTTGTCATCTTTAAGGACTGAGTCGTCTAAATAATGTAAAGAAAATCAGCTGTCAAGATTACACCTAATCTATTATAATACTTAATTGATGCATTTTAACTTTTAATAATTTTAGGTGGCTTTAATGCAAAATTTGAATTGGTGTTTTCAATATACTATAATTAACTTAATAAACTGATAAGCTGAGAAAATTAATCAATTTTACAAGCAAACAATTAGCTATAGAAAAGTTTGTCAAAGGCATAGTACCAGTAAATAGCTCAATGGTAGAGTAACCAAGAAATATATGTATGTCTGTTGAAGTAATAAATATAACAGTACATAATAAATGCAACTTCTTAGGATATGTTTTAAAATTTAACCTGAATTAAACAGCTGCAAAAGTAGAAAAGTTTATATTACTGTACAGTGAACAGAGGCAGACTTAGGGGGCAGGAGGCCTGGCTCCCCTTATGGAGCTACATATATGACAAATGTATAGACTTTTTACAAGTATCCCTCCAAATGTTGGCTTTAAATCAGTCTTTAATTAACAATTAGTGTCAGTTTAATTCATATTTATAAACTCACTCTCCTTTTTTTGCAAAATCTGGTTTTACCATGCCATATGTTTAAAGTAATAGAGTTTTAACTAATATAAATCTAGTTTGACAATGCAACTGTCAAAAGTAAGATGTCTAGCCTGTGGTCTCTTCATCATTTTGTCTATTTTTGGGATCTTTGGTAAACTCTGTTTAACTCATGCATTACTTGTTTGTTGTTAGAATAAAGGGCAGTCTAGCTTTCCCAGATAATAATGGGCAGTCTAGCTTTCCTAGTTAGAATAATGGGCAGTCTAGCTATCCTAGTTAGAATAATGGGCAGTCTAGCTTTCCAAGTTACAATAATGGGCAGTCTAGCTTTCGAAGTTAGAATAATGGGCAGTCTAGCTATCCTAGTTACAATAATGGGCAGTCTAGCTTTCCAAGTTACAATAATGGGCAGTCTAGCTTTCCAAGTTACAATAATGGGCAGTTTAGCTTTCCTAGTTAGAATAATAGGCAATTCATCAGCTTTCCTAGTTAGAATAATGGGCAGTTTAGCTTTCCTTGTTAGAATAATGGGTAGTTTAGCTTTCCTAGTTAGAATAGTGGGCAATGAAGCTTTCCAAGTTACAATAATGAGCAGTTTAGCTTTCCTAGTTAGAATAATGGGCAATTAAGCTTTCCTAGTTAGAATAATGGGCAGTTTAGCTTTCCTAGTTAGAATAATGGGTAGTTTAGCTTTCCTAGTTAGAATAATGGGAAATTAACCTTTCCTAGTTAGAAAAAAGGGACAGATTAGCTTTCCTAGTTAGAATAATGAGCAATTAAGCTTTCCTAGTTAGAATAATGGGCAATTAAGCTTTCCTAGTTAGAAGAATGGCAGTTTAGCTTTCCTAGTTAGAATAATGGGCAATTAAGCTTTCCTAGTTAGAAGAATGGCAGTTTAGCTTTCCTAGTTAGAATAATGTGCAGTCTAACTTTCTGAGTTAGAATAATGGATAGTTAAGCTTTCTAAGTTAGAATAATGTGCAGTCTAGATTTCCTAGTTAGAATAATGTGTAGTTTAGCTATCCTAGTTAGAATAATGGGCAATTAAGCTTTCCAAGTTACAATAATGGGCAGTTTAGCTTTCCTAGTTACAATAATGGGCAATTAAGCTTTCCTAGTTAGAACAATGGGCAGTTTAGCTTTCCTAGTTAAAATAATGGGTAGTTTAGCTTTCCTAGTTAGAATAATGTGCAATTAAGCTTTCCTAGTTAGAATAATGGGCAGTTTAGCTTTCCTAGTTAGAATAATGGGCAATTAAGCTTTCCTAGTTAGAATAATGGGTAGTTTAGCTTTCCTAGTTAGAATAATGGGAAATTAACCTTTCCTAGTTAGCAAAAAGGGGCAGATTAGCTTTCCTAGTTAGAATAATGAGCAATCAAGCTTTCCTAGTTAGAATAATGGGCAATTAAGCTTTCCTAGTTTGAATAATGGGCAGTTTAGCTTACCTCAATTTTTTTTTTGAAGGCTTACTTCTGATTTTTGATAATCTGGCATTGTTAGGTTGTTGTCGCCCTGACATTTACCCTGTATCAACTTTTACTTGAGTATCAGATATTCTCATAAATTGGACAATGTTTACTTTTTCTAATTAATGATATAATCACAATAATACAGAACTCCTACATAACATAAATAATCAATTCATTCTTCGATTATACAACAAAATTCCCATTATTAATTAAATAATGGAAGACCACACAGGAATTTGCGGTGCCAACATTTAAAAAAAATTTGTATCCATAGCAGAACGCTGATCAGGAAGCATTTAGTCTCGTTTCTGTGGTACTGACGTCAATCGACAACATTAATATCGATGACAAGGTAGTAATAGGATTTATATCTAATTAATGGCACCTTTTATATATACACTTACTCTCATAGAATTTTGATGCTGGATTGCTCTCTGATATTCCTCATTTAATCTGGAATATTTCTCATCCGGTGTTAATGAATTTCCGTATGGATCCATATCTGGTTCCGGACTTTCACACCCTTTATTTTCTTTTTTTGTTAAGGTCTGAAATAATAAAAGTACAAAGTTAATTTAGCACAATGTCAAAAATAGCTAGCTAAGTCTGTTAAAGGAAGAGAGATGAGTTATTTCAGAAATAAATTACTTGTGAAGTGTATAGATGTTAAATTGCATCATAAATCTGCTTAGGACTGAAATTTCTCTGGCTTGCAGGTGATTTCTTGCTGTTCATATCTGCTCTACTGTGTTTAATATAAAATCTAGACAAAAACAGTCAGTCAATAAGTATACAGCAGCTGACAATGTATATATATATGTACTCAGTCAGACGACTGTTTGGACTTGTGACTAAATTATATATGTACTAAGATGGTGACGCTCAGTCAGAATTAATTAAATACTGTAAAATGGTTTATTTTTGCAACGCTCAGTCAGAATTAATTAAATACTGTAAAATGGTTTATTTTTGCAGAGATTAAATTTTGCAATTTAAAAGTTCAAACCAATTCCCAAGGTTTTATTTTCATATGTTTCTTGTCCATGGCTCTTATCTACCTTAAAGATGAAATTTACGAAAGCAAGCGTATATTTTCGTGATTTTATCTGATTCACGAAATTAATGAAAGCAAACTCCTTGCGAAAAATTACATCTGATTATTCTCAATACCTTGGAAGTTTTTATCAACAGAAATTCATGACTTCCTTTGAGCATGTAAATGCTCTGATATATTTTTGCAGCAATTGCCAATGAGGTCACCTGTTATCGGCAAAAAATATTTATTCCAAGATTTCTGATCAACATTTATGTAGACAGATAGATTTCTTTTCCTTTCTGTTGTATAGTATTTAATGTTAATATCTTAATTCTGTTTCTATGATGGCAAAAGACATTTCCTTTGCCTTTGGGAGAGACTTTATCAGTTGTGTACTATTGTATTCATAATTTTTTTTTTATTTGTTGAAAATATTGGGAATTTAGAGAAAAAAAAAAAATTTCTATGGCGTGCTTAAGTCATAATTTATCAATTTTTCATCATTTTATTTTATACCTTGACTTAATGTCAATAGATATTGTCACCTTAGAGGGTTTATTTGGACTTACATTCACCTAAACAGTCCCAGATAATTCAATTGGTCAAACTATACAGTATTTTACAACCTTACAAATTTTATCAACAATAACTCAGCCATTATACAAAGGAATATATTTGTTCTGTATTCTTAAGTTAATATTGGTTTAAAAACCAAAGATAAACATCATTCTGATCGACTTGTATGAAACGGATGTTTAGTATCATACTTTTAACTGGGAAATTCCATTATCTCAATATTATACTTAATAAGCAAAATTCTGAACTAAAAGTTTAAATAAAATCTAAGTGCAAGTCTTTTGTGTTTCATTGTCAATGAACTTAAACAAGCATCAAAAGTACTTATCATTCAATCTAAAGATTTTTCATTTCAAGGGTGAACAAACATTTTTTAATTTATAATGAAAGCCAAGTTCCTAGGTCCTCTACAAGATGTCCTCGTGTAGGATATTGTTGATCTGTAACTAAGTCACCATAACATGTGTCATCGTGAACAGCTTCCTATTCTGCACCGAGATCAATTTATGGGACATGAGGTAATCGAGCGTTATTCAATAAAATATATATAAACCTATATATATGAAAAGGGTTTATGTGTTGACATCATATTATAAAGGTTTGACCTAAAAATCAACTATAAAATTGCATTGATCAAAATCAACAGCAAATCTTCATGTCTCCAGAAATCTTAATCAATTTGATACAAACACAGAATTACTTGGTCCTAAGATTTTAAACTATAGATCTACAATTTAAATGAATTTCATTTTCATGAACCAGAAAGCATTAAAAAATATGTTCAAAATAAAATTTTATTCAAATTTTGTGGGAGAGGTGAATGTACTTTTAAATACTTTGGTTCATAAAGACATTTATAGGTTCATCTTCACTCTTAATAAAGTTAGCAAAGGACTATCACTAACAGCTGGTATTAATTATAAATCAATGTATACTGTATAAACTATCATCCTAAAACTAGTTTTAAATGTTGTACCAAACTGACAAGAAAACTATTGCTTCCTTCTATCAACAAATAAACTGTTACCTCAAACAGACACCAAAAAGGCAATAAATCAATATAAGTATAAGATTAATTATAAAATTTAATGTATGCAATGAGGAGAAATATTCTCTATACATAAATCAAATGTAATTGACAAAAGTAATCCTTGATATTTTATCATGTAAAAATAAAAGTCTCATTGCTAAAGAGTCAAAAATTTTAAGGGACAAATTTTAATCTTAGAGAAGTTTAAAATGAATATAATACTTTCATGGATAGACAAGAATCATTAAGTAAAGGGGCATAACCAATGCACAGACATATTGAAAAATGAAAAATGAATACACAGAAACATTAATCACAGATATGACATCATTCTTGTCTGTCAATCAGGCATCGAAACTGTCAATTTATCCATAAAGTATGACAGATAAACATTAAAGTTACACCTTGACATAGACTATAATAAAATCTGTAAAATATTTTTTTATAGTTCACACTTGAGTCATTAAAGCCTATATATTGTTGATCTCTGACCCCGAGTAATGAATAATTTTACAGTCCTTTTGCACTCTTATACAAAGAACAAGCATTGCTGCCATTCAATAAGTTACATTACCGATTAAAAAGTCCAAAAAGTTAAAACTTCTCGTGATGACTTTTAATTACATGAAAAAATCTCATGTTCCAACCAGATTGTCAAACAGACTGGACAATTGGAGGAATTCATTTTAGATAAAAGAAGAATGTGTCTGAGGACATGAATACCCCTGCTCAAGCTTTGCAATGAAAATGGGATGGACAGACGGAAAGACAGATGGTCAAGAGTAACACTTAATGCCCCCATCGCCTATGGTAGGGGCATAGAAATGATATGTTTGGCATTAAGGAAGGAGGGACAAATAATCCAAAAATTGAGAAGAGGAAATAGAAAACTGAACTATTTTGACATTAACTACCTTTTCTGGTTAGTCATGTATCAATCTTTTTTACAACTAAAAGTTAACAACAGCGATAGCTGATTGGTACATTTTCTTATTTAAGGTTTGTTACACAATCATTCCCCTGGTTGCTGATAGACATCAGCTTTTATTTCTCTAGAACGTCTGATTTTACCTGAAAGTTTATCAGCCAAGACTGTGAGAACTGGGAGAAAAGTCAATATTTACACTGATTACAGAGATAATTTGACTAAGCTGCCAGATATTTCTGTACTTCAAGGTACTCTTGTGGTCTGTCTATTTTTGGTTGAGATCAATATAGAAACAGCTCTTCTCATGTCTCACAATGGGGGACTGTCTCAAACAATCCTTCATCATGTGAAAATGGAATATATCGTGTAAGAAGCTGATAAGTGAATTTTATAAATCTTTTAAGAATGGATCTATTCATACTTGTTTCTGATTACATATTTTAATCCAAACAATCCAAGCAATTTTTACCACAATATGATTTATTTGCTGTTTTATTCATTTATCAAGTAAACATGTTTTTCAACATTTGGCAAAACTTCAAGTCAAACTGACATAAGAGATACACATACCTTTGAAATGTTCCCCAGGTTATGTAGACACAAAGTTGTTTTATTTTAAGATTAATATATGGTTATATTAAGGTATCTATTTCTGGTCTTTCCTAAAATTCTTTTTACTATGTAATTTTCATTCATGAAGGTTTTTGTTTACAAACATTCAATGAATGTGTTTCTCATTGCCAGATATCTGATATATACATCCTATATCACTTTATATATTGGAATGCAGATTTTTGTCTGCATAAAATTTGACAAGCATTTGTTGCATTATTTAATGAGTGCTTATATTCCCTAGCAGAAAAGATAATTATGTGATGAGACATAGAGTTTATCAAGACAATTAAATCACCAGGTGTACTGACATCTTCAGTTATTGCAAAATGAGCAATCATATGTTTTATATTCATGTTATCATGTAGTGGTGTTAACCAAAGCCTTCCACCATTGGCTGTCACAGCGGTTTTTTCTATTAGTTTATCATTTGGTATAGTAGTGGCTTAAATTAAAGTCAAATGCTTTTGGTCTAAGGTGACTGGTAATTTTGAAAGAAAAATAATGATTAAATTGATGGAGTGTGCTTTTTCTTTACAAAGCATTAATGAAGTCAAACCTTGGCTCATCAATGGTTTCATTGAAGATTATCACTGCCATTATTTTGCTCAACATGAACAGGGAATGAATATTATATACATACTCCCTTAGTTAAAGACCATTTCAATCCATATAAATGCCAAATAAAACAAACCTCACTCAATAAACCTTAGTTTGAACAGGCTCATTAACTCGTAAAATAAAAAAAAAACACTTGAGTAAATGTGCTTGAAATGCATGTGCTTGTATTTAAGGAAGTAACCTAAAGTCATATCTATCATTCTTTGATACTTATCAATCAGTCCTTTATAAAGTAAATTACATTCAAATAACAAGAGTGATGATGTAATAAAATTTAAATAAAGACAAGAAATTCCTAAATCCTGAATCCAAATAAAACCCCGCAGGCAAGCTGAAAAATAAATGGTTGTCACTGCATACACAAATAATTTGTGATACCTTTATATGAGTATGTCCATAATTCAAATGAGAAAAAAGTATCTTCCATCCATACATTTTGACAAGCAGATTATTACTTTTAGACAATGTTGTAATAATTCCCATGGCCTGTAGATTGCTATGACAAATCATTTGATTTCTGTTTACAAAACATGACAGAATTCCCAGAACTTGATTAAACAAATTTACTGATAACATCAAGTCATTCAGTTTGTTTCTGGGACTATTAGTAATTTAGAGCCTGGATGTCTAGGCTGACAGCAACACACCGATGTCAAGGTTGGAAACAAGTGCCATGATGTCAAGGTTGGCAACAAGTACCCTGATGTCAAGGTTGTCAACAAGTGCCATGATGCCAGGTTTGTGACAAGTGCCCTGATGTCAAGGTTGGCAACAAGTGCCCTGATGTCAAGGTTGGCAACAAGTGTCATGATGTCAAGGTTTTGCGGAAAGTGCCCTGATGTTAAGGTTGTCAGCAAGTGCCATGATGCCAGGTTTGTGACAAGTGCCCTGATGTCAAGGTTTTGCATAAAGTGCCCTGATGTTAAGGTTGGCAACAAGTGCCCAGATGTCAAGGTTTTGTGGAAAGTGCCCTTATGTCAAGGTTAGTGGGATGAACACTGATGTCAATGTTTGTAAGACGTGACCTGGTATTTAGGTAGGAGGAAAGTGCCTGGAGTGAAAACATGTGTGATATGTCAAGGCAGTAGTGTTTCTGATAGGCATAAGCAGCACTGTTTCTAAAGTATACAGACAGAAGTGTTTCTACATGGTTCAGGCTGTTGTTGTTCTGATAGGAGCATGCCACAGTATTTCTGTTAGGGGTATGCCATAGTATTTGTAATAGGGGCATACCATAGTATTTCTGAAAGGGACAGACAAGAAGCGTTTTTGATAGGAGATGGATCCTAGTTCCATTCTGGAACCTCATATAAAAGGATAGGAAGAAGACAAGATGTAACATCAAAGTAAATGGAACCTAGTTCCCTTCTGGAACCTCATGCCAAAGGATAGGGAGAAAACAAGCTGTAGAATCAGAGGAGATGTATCCTAGTTCCCCTTCTGGAACTTCATGCCAAAATGATAGAGAGGAGACAAGATATAGCGTAAGAAGAGATGGATCCTAGTTTCCCTTCTGGAACCTCATGCCAAAAAGGATAGCGAGGAGACAAGATGTAGCATCAGTTATGACAATGAATATAGAATGAACTTTTAATTAATGAAATGAAGCAGATTTTCAGGACTAATTACTGAATATCAGATAATAGGTGAACTATTGGACATGGTAAATGCCAGAATCTATTACTTATACCTATAAACAGGCTGTAATTGGCTCATTACCAGGTTTTCTGGGGAGGTAATATGAGGAAACATAGAGTCTATATAAATTGACAGAATTTTTATTTAATTTCAAGATATATTACTATATAGCAACATGTTTTGAAATGAACATTTAAATCAGTTATCCATGTTCAGTATAGAACAAACTCATCATAGATAGTAAGAATTCAAGTGATGAATTGGCTATTTTTTTCATTTATTTCTTTTCAAATGAATCCTTAAATATTCTTACTTGCCATAAAATATAGTCAGATAAACATTATATTTTCCATACATGTATTTTTTAATAGAGCATACTATCTGTTTTTTTTTAATTATCAATCATTTGAAATGTTTGCCTTCTTTCTTAATTTCTAGAAACATTAAATCTAAAATAGTACATCCATCATATACTACAAGTAAAAAGTGACTAGTGATATTTAATTTTCCTGGTATCAGTATGGTCTTTGTTGTAATGTTTTTGGGAAATTAAATTGCAGTATGTAATTGTACAGAAGAAATTTTGAAACCTAATGAAATATGGTTTTAGGAATATTAAATAAAAAGCTTTTTGATACTTCCTTAAATGATGTAACATGACAGATAATGTAGAAACTAGAAAAGTCAGAAAATTAGAGTATGTTGCCAGCAGCAGTAAAAATAGAATACTTTAAGCTATAGAGTGTGAACTCTGAGGGTGTTAATATCCCAACTGAAGACCTCTCTATTGGAAATGCTGGTGAACACTTGTATTAATAACATACCAGACAGATTATAATAGGTAATTATTACAGTCTTCTGACCACATGTACCTTCATCCTATCAGATGATATTCAGGTAAAACATCTCTGTTTAATCCAACATAAGTAGGAAGAGAAAGATAATATTCTGATTCATAAACATGTTCTCTTATCACTAGTAAATCATCCCCAGTCTGCTCTCAATATAAGACATCATTATACCTCTATATCATAAGGAAAAAACTGATAGATGTTTAAAAATTTGTCTAGGAATTTTCTATCCTGTGTCCTATAGTTTTCAATATTTGACTGATAGTCTTAATTAGGTTAACCTTATTACACTTCAAATGTATATAAAATTTTATCTTATATCATTTCTGAATCTATCTAAAAACACTTGAATTTAGCTTATATTACCACAAAGATTCAGATAGATTTACAAGTGTTATGACATCCTGTACATTTTATTTTTTACAATGTATTCATGTACGTAGATGTACTAAGTGTATTTACTTATACACCTGTTTATAATATGTTCAATATCAAGGACTCAATCAACACACATACAAAAATATCAAATAAAACCTGTTACATGTATTCTACTTTGAATAATACAAATTTCTTTGAAATATTTTTTTTAATTGGGATTTCATTTTCTGCTTTAGTAGTTTTTTATCTTATACATGTCAAGCTGACAATCTTGATTATAATATGACCATCCAGCAGATGTTACATACATTGACATCTTTTTCCTCATGAATAGTATGTGTTACATAAGACAAAATCTAAATGGATGTTTCTCATATGTTTTATTACAAAAAAAAACTATTATATTGCAGATGATTATTACTAATATTGGTAAGACAATAATACATTCTCCATGTTAAAATAGACATTTCTAAAACTGAATTTCGATGTGAAATATTTGCCACTGATTATTAAATAAATGGGGAATGTGTCCATGGAACACAGATGATGCCCCCACTTGCATATAACATTATAAAGGGACATAACCCAAGAACGGTAAAAGTGAAGCTTCCCAAATCTGTACTTGATCTGAGTTTTGTGGTAATAAGCATTGTTTATAAGTTTCATAACATTTAGTTGGGGCAAATGTAATTCAGCAATTTTTCCATTTGTAAAGGTGCATAACTCTAGAACGGTTCAAGTGACGCCACCAAAATCCAAACTTGATCTGTGTTTTGTGGTAATAAGCATTGTGTATAAGTTTCATAACATTTGGTTGAGGCAAACTTAAGTTAGAGAACGGAAACCAATTTTGGGACGTACGGACGGACATACATACAAATGTAGACGGACAAGGGTAAAACTAAATGCCCCCTTCAATACCGCGGGGGCATAACAAACATAAATTAGTCATTTCAGAAATAATTGCAAGCATTTATTATTGCGATTTTGACATGAAAAAACAAAATTTGAGATTAATTATTGCGATTTCAGGAAAAGCTGTATAAGATATCAGAATGTGAGTTCTTATTATTGCAATACTTAACCAGTCACATAATTAACAAATACATGTAATAGGGAATTTAACATTTTTATTTTTACAAAAAACTATGGTTATTATACTTTTTTAAAAAAAACATTTGTTGAAATTACAACATTTGTTTAAATGAGGGGTAATGTTTTGGGTATCTTATATGACCATTAACTAAAAAACTTTGGTTCAAATAGCATTAAACATTTGATGCTATTGCTAGCTTACAAATACTATGTAAAAATAGACTCAATTGAGACTAACAGTAACAAAAAAAGAGCCCTTTATGCTTAATGGTAAAAGCCATTATTAAAATCTTAAATCCTACCTCTACAATGTCTTTGTTTGTACGACTTTCATGAGGTTCGTTATACTCTGTGTACTTGAGGAGGACTTTATCCATATCAGTACTGGCATACTGAAACAACTTGTTGGCACTGTTAAATATAATCAAGGCTATCTCACAGTCACACAGGACACTTAATTCATATGCTTTCTTCATTAGACCAAACTTTCTTTTGGTAAATGTCACCTGAAAGTAGAAATAATCTTCATAAAATTTAACTCTAATGTAATTTTCTCAATCAGACCTAACATGAAGGTCACCTTTAGTTAATGCTGCTGAACACATTTTGTGTGTGTGTGTGTAAAGGGGGGGATTCAAATTGATACCAAACACACAACAAATTTCTGGTTCTTTTAACCTGGGTATGATTAGACTCAGGACTATTTAGAGCTTGACATATATTATATAGAGACCTTCTTTTGTTTAAGACAGTATGCCATGTAGATATCTTTTGTTTAAGACAGTATGCCATGTAGATATATTTTGTTTAAGACAGTATGCCATGTAGATATCTTTTGTTTAAGACAGTATGCCATGTAGATATCTTTTGTTTAAGACAGTATGCCATGTAGATATCTTTAGATTCTTTGTGTCAATGGATTGCTGTCTCATCTAAAAATTGAATCCCATAGATAGATGCATATTCTCCTCCAAACATACATAAACAGGATCAACAAAATTCATGTATGGTGTTAATGTTTACTTCAGATGACAGCTTGGCTTGAAAATAACTCTTTATCCTAAACTTCAGAAGGAGGGAATACAAATCACTTTTGTCACCAATGCATTTACAGAAAATGAAAAGAATGGCATAAATCAATATTTAATTATTATTACAATTATGTCAGTTAACAGTAGAAATTAGCAACCAAGCAGATGTTAATAGTGGTCATGCAGTTCTATATATAGGTAGGGACATGCTGGAATTCTGATGGACATGTCAATTAAAGACTGACATCTGTTGGTTTCCTTCCCTTAATAATTATTGTATTTACTAGACTGACTGAGGGGAGAAAGGCTCAGCAAACTTTTATATAACTTAATTCTACATTTACTAGTATAATATATATATATATAAACCTTTTAAAAGTGTTTCTGGTGAGATGTCTCCCCTTAAAACTAATCCTTGGGGGTTAATCTGCAGAACCTTTTGTAGGCAATCCTCTTATTGTTTTTACTCTTATTATATCAAATTTATTAAACAAGTAATGGATGCCCAACTGTTTAAAATAAACAAATCTTGATAAAACATTGATAACAACATTGGCTTAGGGTCACTTATATTGCACTAACAAGAGCAGCTTTCATCAATAAAGCTATAAAATAACAATTTATGTAAAAGTAAATCAATTATAGCTAAAACTGAAACTATTGAGACTATATTTGGAAGAATATTTGTATCTCCCTAGAAGGATACATCTTTAAGGGAGTGGTTGATTAAATGTAAATAAGGGTGGCTGATTATCTCCCTTGAAGGATACATGGTTGATTAAATGTAAATAGGGGTGGTTGTATCTCCCTTATATGATACATCTTTAAGGAAGTGGCTGATTAAATGTAAATAGGGATGGCTGTATCTCCCTTAAATGATACAGCTTTAAGGAAGTGGTTGATTAAATGTAAATAGGGATGGCTGTATCTCCCTTAAATGATACAGCTTTAAGGAAGTGGTTGATTAAATGTAAATAGGGATGGCTGTATCTCCCTTAAATGATACAGCTTTAAGGAAGTGGTTGATTAAATGTAAATAGGGATGGCTGTATCTCCCTTAAATGATACAGCTTTAAGGAAGTGGTTGATTAAATGTAAATAGGGATGGCTGTATCTCCCTTAAATGATACATCTTTAAGGAAGTGGTTGATTAAATGTAAATAGGGGTGGCTGTATCTCCCTTAAATGATACAGCTTTAAGGAAGTGGTTGATTAAATGTAAATAGGGGTGGCTGTATCTCCCTTGAAGGATAAATCTTTAAGGAAGTGGTTGATTAAATGTAAATAGGGATGGCTGTATCTCCCTTGAAGGATAAATCTTTAAGGAAGTGGTTGATTAAATGAAAATAGGGGTGGTTGTATCTCCCTTAAATGATACATCTTTAAGGAAGTGGTTGATTAAATGTAAATAGGGGTGGCTGTATCTCCCTTAAATGATACATCTTTAAGGAAGTGGTTGATTAAATGTGAATAGGGGTGGCTGTATCTCCCTTGAAGGATATATCTTTAAGGAAATGGTTGATTAAATGCAAATAAGGGTGTCTGCCTGTTGACAGTACATTCAAGATTTTGGGAAAATAAATCTGAAATCTTATTCATTAAATGTCACTATGAAATTAATGTAAATGGTGGTTCCCCAAATGAGAGTTATCTCCCTTCTGTATAAGAGTTGTGGTTCTTCAAGGTATTTTTCTATACATCAAATGGCTTCTTTCTACCAAAAAAAAACCGAGTTTTTGAAGGAAAATTGTTCACTTAATGCTAACAATAACAAGTATGGAAATATGGCAAAATGTAATATAAAATTTGGAAACATAAATTGTTAATTATTGCTGTACAAACTACTTGAAAATATCTATCTATGTTGATTAAAAACTATAACAAAATTTCCTGCATGAAATGAGGAATTAAGGAGGTTATAATGATTATTTTTATTTACAGGAAAATAAACCATAGAGATGGTAATTCTTGTTTCCCTTTTTACATTTTACATAATCTACACTTAGAAACACATCCTAACAAATTCAAACTACCATAGCCAGTAAAAAGTCACTTCAGGTAAAGACAAACTACTGAACAAATGCCATCAGTAAATCAGGTCTCATTACACAGTTAAACCCTTTAAAGAAATGCTTAGGATTGTGTAAAAGGTCACTTTACCTACAGACAAACCACTTTATAAATGCCACTCAAGTCATTAAACAGTCACTTTACCAAAAGCTAAATAAATCATTTCAATTGCCACCAAAATCTGCTAATTGTCACTTTACCAAAAGGCAAACTTCTTAATGAATGCTGCTTTATATTTTTTAGGATGAAATATTATGAGGAAATGCTCTGATATTGACCAATGACACATAGGTCTTACATAATAAATAAGAGTTTGAAAGGGAAAACACCTTGTTATGTAATCTAACTACTAGTACAACCTAGTTACATCTCAACAGAAAAACCATGGCAGTTGTTTTTTATTGTTTACTTGCTATGAAGTCAATATAACTTTCAAACATATTTTCGTTTCAGTCACGATTTAACAAAACGTCACAGGGTTCGATTGTCTTAAGTTACACTTGTATTAGGATACCAGTGCAATTATACAGTGGACCCATACGGTCTCAAACTACGGTACAATTCTATGTAACAATTTAAATGGTCCACCCACGATATAAAACCTACAATTATGGAGAAACCGTTAGATACTATCACATAATTATGACGACCGGATAAATCTACTTTCTTTTATACAGTGTATGTCTAGGTTGAAGGAGATTTAACACCTCTATAAAATTACTGTTTAATAACCTTGTAAAAACACATGTAGACCTTGTGCATATATAGTTAAAGTGAAAATGATAATAAGAGATGGTTCAAAAATCAGTTGAAGATGCTATGAAGTGGCAGCATGATTCTAGATCTTATCATCTTAAAGAGTATTTCAGTAAAGACTTTAAAACAGAAATACCTATGTAAATTTGGTGAGAATTTGAAGTTTGTTAATTTATTTTTGACCCAAAATGATTACAAATCATATGGTCAACAAAGTAAATCTATTATACATGCTTATGTTTGAGCTGGACAGGGGAACACCCTTTTCTATATTTTCACTTCTCTGATTAGTCAAATGGACATTACCTCTTTTGACTTCTACAGACTTTAAGCTGATTTAACTACATAATACTTACTAGTGTAATCCTTTGTTATTTAAGCGGGTCTCTTGTGATTAGGATTATCTGATCATTTTCCAAAACAAAAAGTATCATAACTCATTATGTGTTTTCATTGATTATATTTACAAATCTGACTACTCATTCAAATGATGCAGTTATTTTTTATACTGAGAGAATCCCAAAAATGTTTATTTCAACAGTTGTTTATATATATTGACACATATAACTTCTGCATTCTAAATATACATTAAACTTTAGTTCAATAAGGAAACAAACAATTCTTCTCATTATTTATGCATTTTTTAGTTGATATGAACGACCTCTTCAATGAATGTAATATTTTGTCACTAAACACTTTGAAAGATGGACACAGAAATTTGTTAAACCATTTACCAAATTTTTATCAGAAACATTAGAATTTATGGTAGGAGTATGATTTAACTTGCAGAAATTTAATAAAGTGGTATTTCACATCCATCTTGTAATAGAAAGTGATATTGTTAATAAAGCAAACAAATACAAAAATCACCCTTCAAATCTCTCTTAGACTTGATAATTTATTGATAACATTGTTGTTGTGAATCAGTCTATTAAGGTATTGTATAGATACTGAATATTTTTTTTAGTTTACCTCTGCCATGTTCTTTACCATTAAATATTGAACTGAACTGAATTGTTTTTCCTAATTATGATACCAATTTTATAGACTTAAGATTTTTTTCTAATCTAATTTTTACATTAAATTATTTTATGCACCTTTTGTTATGACATGCTACTTAACACTCATAGGTAGAGATTTTGGAAATTAAGTTGGTGAAAGTTTCCCACTTTTTGTTAGGATTGTAACACAGAACATACAAGAAATAATTAATTGTTCCTGTAAATTTCTCATGATAGATTTAGAGTCATGTCAAAAACATGGCCAGACAATATCAAACATGATATACAATAATGAAAGAGTGTGGTTCATTAATTTTGCATGTTTATTATGAAATAGTACTTAACTGAGCTATTACTAACCCTATCTAACTTGGTGTCAAATTTCTGTATATCAATACACCTAAATTACTAAACCTGATTGTGTTAATTGGAAAGTACATTAAAATTAATCAATATCCTGATCAAGTAATTACTTTAACCTTTTAATAATGATTATAAACAGAAGAGACCAATACACATCATGTTAATGACTAGACTGACCACTACCTCTCCAGTAATACCACCACAATTAATTTTAACATTTTCTTCATCACAACACATCCATTTTTATTTTTTTTTATTTGCAATGTTTTTTGACAAGCTGAGCTCACTATTTGTGGAAATTGCACTGTAGCTTAAAGTTAACCAACCAACAATCAATCATCTAACTGACATCCCCATTTTCTTCTGAGGGACATATCCACTTAACAGCTAACTAACCTATCTGAGCCTATCATCCTCTTTTCTATAAATAGACATCCCCCCTTTTTTGTATTACTGTTAACTGACCTGTCTATTCCTCTCGTCCCCAATTCTAGAGATCTGTATTTTTTTTCTCCCCATCCTTGCTTTTTCTTCTGGCTGTGGGGTTTCCTGTACTGAAGCCACTATTGAAGATTTATCACCAGAACTAGAAATCCTGGAAAAAAAATTAAATATTCATATGAAAACCAAATACAATGTAAACATAGACAACATATTGTCTTAATAAAAAAAAAAACATGGTGCACACTCATAAGCTGTTAGTGTTATAATATTGTTCAAAATCTGCATTTATACAGCAAATAGCTTACAGGAATAAATTTCTTTCATCAACCTCTGCTCCAAACAATCATCAAGACTGTACAGGAATGAATTCTATCAGCTTAACCTTTGATGCCCTTGAAGGAATGATTTCTTTTAGTTAAACCTTCTAAGGCACAGAAATGAGCTTGTAGGAACAAGTTCCTCTAGTTAAACCTTCTAGCGCACAACAATGAGCTTGTAGGAAAGAGTTCCTTTAGTTAAACCTTCTAGCACATAGCAATGAGCTTGTAGGAATGAATTCCTTTACTTAAACCTTTTAGCACAAAGCAATAAAGCTTGTAGGAATGGGTTCCTTTAGTTGAACCTTCTAGCACACAGCAATGAGCTTATACGAACAAATTCCTTGAATAAAACCTTTTTGCACATGGCATAGACCTTGTTATAAGAATCAACAATACCAGATATACCACATTAGCTTGTAGCAAGCAAACTTCAAACTCTTTCATTCACATGCCTGAATGTACCCTATTCAATTTTAACAGGCAATTTGTTTTTGTGGGTGGCAAATGAAGACAATGTTGTACTAAATTTTCATTCTCTAATATTCTATATCAACTATATTTAGTGTTTGCATTTTTAAAATAAAATCCATTGACTGAAATGAATGAAATCATTATTTCTCACAAATCAAAGCCTCAAACTGTACAAATATTATATAACAGAAATACTATTCTGAAAAATCATTTCCAAATTTCAGTTGTTCTATCTTCAATATTTTTCTCTCCTTTCATTAAAAAAACATCCAGCTTGACGTAAATATATTGGAAATTCTCAAATAAAAACTAATATAAATTACAAGTGGGTGGAATACAACTGGAAATAGAGAACAATACAGTTATAAATGTTTAATCTCTTTACAAAGCAAACAAATAGTTAATATTTAATCTGCCTGCCTCTTTTTACATAAATATTCAATCTGCCTGCCTTTTTTACATTAATAAATCAGAGTATCATTATATCTAAGTATTTTTTTTCCATTAATTATTGCAATAATGCTCTTCATGCCTTTTGCAATCACTGTCAACAGAAGACCCTGCATCTACTATCCTTACTCTATAGTCCTAAGAGTGTCTTCACAGCATACACTTATCATTGTATTCAAAGCTGGACGAATGTTCCCCCATTACCACATAGAACAGCAAAACTAATTTTGCAATTTTCATTTTATTTCTTTACTTCTTTAATGAAATAAATTATTTCAGTTTACTAAATATTATCAACATAATTATTGATAAAGTACATTTCCCAAAGTTTTATATTGTTTATTTTGGATTTTGAACATTGTGTCTATTGAATTTCCCTTTACCAATCCTCAATGTTTTGATATGACAAGAACAACTCAGGTTGCCAAAATGACAGCAACCCTGGTTTTTATTACCTTTATGAATGTTTTTATTTAAGCAATGATGGGTCAAAGTAAAAATCGTCAGTATCAAACTTTACTTCAACCGGGCAGTGAGATTTGTCACCAGTAGCAACATATTGAAATTTGAAAAGCATTGGTAGAACAGTTCTCAACTTATTGCAGTGTGAGAAACAACTTAAAATTCCATTTTCCAACCAATAACGGACAAATATAAACTCCAGAATGGCAAAAGTGAAAATCATCATTAGTGAAGTTGTGGTTGAACAGTTCTCAAGTTATTTCAAGACAGACATAAAAGTAAAAATCAACTGTATAAAACATGAACTTCATTTTGTCATCAGTAACAATTAACTTATCAAAATCTGAAAAGCATTGGTTGATCTGTTCTAAAAGTTATTGCACAACTACTGGGGTCATGCAGTGGGACACCAGTCCACCCACTGTACAAACTCCTTACCCTGATTTATGTCAGAAAAAAATCCTGTTAATGAAATCCATGAATATGACTGTGCATGATGTATGACCTATGTCTCAGTATGCATTCTAAATACTTACAGACATGGAACTACAATGATTTTAGTCATGTAAATAAAAAACACTCATTTATAGAATACTTGTTAACTAATACATCTTAACTTGTTACTGAAATATAGGGCATTTATTTTAAAAAAAACATGATAGAAATAACTTATACAAAAAATCATGTCATTTTTTACAATAAAAACAAGAAAAAACTAGATATGAAAAAGAATCATTAGCTATGAATTTGGGAATATGATTAAAATAATATATATTATACATACTCTGCTTCTATTACTGTATTCATTATCTTACTGTGAAATCCAATATAATTCCCAGTAAAGCAATGACATTTTTCTAAATGTTACCCCTGCCACCCCTTGCTGTAATGGTGTAAATTAGGGATAAGTCACTTGTCAAATGTTTTCATCATACCTTATAAAAACACCTGCTCAATAATCTAGTTTAAGAGAGAACATTTCTATAGTATGATCAACATACATTTTTAAGAGAGACTTTTGTACATGTTACGTAAATCTGGTTTGAATAACTATAACAAAAAATAAGTATAACCATTAAAGTGTGTGTGGGGGGGGGGGGGGGGGGTGCTAACAAACAACATGTTTAACCATTATCTTTTATGTGTCTGACCCCAGCCTGTACCAGTGGTTGTTATTGATTGCTGTCTGACCCCAGCCTGTACCAGTGGTTTTGATTGATTGCTATCTGACCCCAGCCTGTACCAGTGGTTTTGATTGATTGCTGTCTGACCCCAGCCTGAACCAGTGCTTGAATGCTGTCTGCCACAGTGGTTTTCGATTATTGTTGTGGCATTAGTATTAATCAGGTCATTGGTTTTCTCTTTTGAATTGTTTCATATTATGTCATCCAGAGTCCTTATGGGTTTTGCTCATTGTTGAAGGCCATCAGTGACCTGTAATTGTTCACATCTTGGTCCCTTGGTATTTAGGGATAGTTGTCTCATTGCAATCATACCACATCTCTTTACTTTTTAAACATAGTAAATGTACTTCTAAACATAGTTAATGATGGTTATTTAATTTGATTAAAATTTTTTAAGTAATAGACATTGAAAATTTATAAAACTAATAAATTTCCTTTTTGTAAATGACTATAAAACAGCAATTTAAATTATGACGTAAAATGCTACACCAAAAAATATCCAAAATAGATCACTGTCTATTTATAAAAAAAACTGAAATTGCTTTAATCTAAATCAAACTGCACAAATCATTAGGTAAAATAGTTCTAGGTAAATCAATAGAAAAGACAATGTGTTTTAAATAACATTGTATATATATAGAACAAAAAATTTCTTATTGTGTAGCAGACAATAGAAAATTAATATCATTTACAATAAAATAAATATCATTTACAATAAAAACAGGGAGATAGATACTAACCCTAAGAAAAAATTAACTGCTTCAAACATTATATTAATAAAAATTAATTTTTAAAATAAAATCTTACTTTTCTGAAAGTTCCAATAAATGATATTTTTTATAACAAAAGGATGTCCTGTTTGATAAAATTAATTCCAAAAAATGCATCCTTCTGCATCGTTATTACAAAGAAGAATCAGATTAATTTACGTCATTTTTTAAATACATAATCTTCATGTTTTTTTAATTATCATCGACTAATTTTGTACATAACAAATTTTCTCTCAAGTAAATCTTTTTTCAAGAAGCACACTTCCAATAACATAGAAATTTCCTGACTAATATTTTTGTCTGGTAAATTAAAAGGTATTATTCAATATTTAAATAAATTTAAACATTTCTATGAAACATATTAATTATGCAAATTAACTCCACTAAATTAAGATGTTTTATATTACAGGATCTATCAAATCTGTAGGATGCAAAAATTAAATAATAAACGCATTTACTTTTAAACAATACAGTTCTTCTAATAGTAAGCTTGCATGTTCAAAAATTACAAAGTTCAAATAAAGTAAATTAAAGCGGACTGAATTATATTGTTTTACATCAAGAAAAGAGGATGATATTATCTACTTAAAGTTATTAGTTTTTATTTACAGGAAAGGGGAAGATTAAAATCAAAAGTTGACAAGAATTTCAAATACTTAAGTTTTATACTTTCATCAGCATAAGTCCATAATATTGGCAATTATATCAAAATTACTTGTTATTTACAGGAGATTAATTTCAAATACTCCATTTTCCACGAGTTGAAAGTGGACAAAAATCCGAAATACTGAGTTTTTACTTGTATCAGTCAAAATTGACAAAAATAAGAAATACTGAGTTTTTACTCACATTTATTACAGTAATGTTATCCTATTGTATTAAGCAGAATTTTAAACTTCCATCTCCATACGACCAAAAAGTAATGTGTTGAATGTCAATACATGTATAGAACAAGCCAAATACTGAGTGGTTTAAAACATGACCTGCTTACTCCAGTTGTCAGACTAATACTAGAACTGTGATAGCAAATTATACCTAGATATGGTTCAGCCTGTTATCAAATTTGCTTACAAAATATGTACTTCATGACCAACTGATGCTCCAATTTATTATAAACAATCTACTGATAAGACCAAGAGACTTTTAGGACCTTGTCAAGTGATTGATCACTTAAAATCAAAATAAATTGGTAAATGATAACTTGGAATAAAAGTGCATCCTGGTAAACACATAAGAAAACAGGACTTCCAAAAAACTGCACTTACATTAGTCACTCTGATGTTAGTTATCCGTTGAAAAGAAGCTGGCAAAATTTAATTGAAAGGTTCCAACCTATACATGCATTGGCAATGCTTTTTATAGGATGTTTATATTTACAACAGAGTTTTCCCAAATACTGTAATTTCACCAAATGTGAAATGTTGAAACCCTAAATATTGAATCCGTATTTTCACACATATTGTTCCTTGCTAACTAATTATTTAAGACTGTTTC